GTAGTGGTCCCAGTATTGAGAGGTGGAGACAGGGGGATGAGACATTCAAGGCTGGTCTAAGCTATATGAAATCTTGGACAAAATGAAAAATTAGCCAGACATAGTGGTGCATACCTTTAAGCCCAGCACCTGGGAAGCAGAGGCAGGGGGATCTATGAGTTTCAGGCTAGCCTGGTCGACAGATCGAGTTCCAGGACAGCTAGGGTTACACAGAAACCCTGTCTCAAAACTACCCCTACAAACAAAAATAACAATTAAAAAACAAAAACCTTTAAGAAAGATATAGGCATAAATAAGAACTTTCTGAAAAGGACTGCAACCACATAGGAAAACAATCCTAAATTGAGAAATGAGATTGTACAGAATTACAAAGCTTCTGTACAGTAAAGGAAAACATTGGTATGAAGAGGCAGCCTGCGGAATAGGTGCCTGCTAAGTACACATCTGACAGGGGCTATAAAGAACTTTGAAAATTAAAAACCCAAACCCCTAAATCTATCAAAAATGGGAAAAATAACTCAAGTGGTAGTTCTCAAAGTAAAAATGACAAAAGACATACAAATATTTGAATATATAAATGAAAGCTGCTTACAGATTGCATCTCACCCCAGTCTGAATGGTTGTCAAGAAAAGAGGTGCCAACATCTACTGGCCAGGGTGTGGAAAAAGAACCATCACACACACCTGCTGGAATATAAACTGGTGTGGCCATTGTGTGAAAATCAATATGGAGTTCTTCAAAACACTAATAAGTAAGCTAGGCATGGTGGCTCATACCCATAAGTCTAGCACTGGGGAAACTGAGGCAGGAGAATCACTCCTAGGTTAAGGCCACCCTGAACTACACAGTGAGAGCAAAGGGAGGAAAAAAGCCCTAAAAATAGAATTACCATATGATCCACTCCTGGGTATGTACCAGAAGGATTCTTCGTCAACACACCATACTACAGAGACACTTGCACATCTGTTAGCTACTGCTGTACTGTTCACAACAGCAAAGGTTCGGAGTCAACCTAGAGGTCTATCAACAGGTGACCAGATAAAGAAAATGTAAACACAATGGAACTATATCCAACTGTAAGAAAAATGAACCCAGTATCATTATCATGTTAGAAGAAACACACCAGACCCAGAAAGACAAATGATTTCTCCCATGTGATACCTACATTTACATTTATATAGACATACTCATACATACATATCTGTGCATATATGATACAAAAGTAGAAAAGGGACTCTGAGACGAGAGGGAGGAGTCTAAAGGAGGAAGGGAGCAAGAGAGGGAAGGAATACATGTGATATGAAAGCAGAAGTAGGAGGATGAAGAGGGGAGAAGAGGGCACCAGTAAGAAAGGAAGAAGGGAAGTAGGAGGGACAAACAGCAACAAAATATAATGATATGCAAGAAAATGTCACAACAAAGCCCTCTTTATAATGATAACAATTAATTAAAAAGGAAACTTAAAAGTTGCTTCCATCTACTCTTTATTAACAGTAATTGAGTGCCAATCCCCCCACACCTCTGAAAACATTAAAAATAAGAATAACTTTCTTGCTAATCTGACAGGAAAAATGGTGCTTTAATTTTAGATCACTTTATTACTGGTTGAGCATCTGAACTCATGTCAACTCTTTCCCTCTCTCTTTTTTGGGAGCTTTTCTCCAATGATGTCTTATATGTAGGCCTCCTTTCCCACATCTTTTTCAATGTAATTTCCTCCCTCCCTCCCTACCTTCCCAAGCACAGGAGTTTGAATCCAGGGCATCACACATTCTAGTCAGAAACTCTACCCATTCAGCTACAGCCTCAGGTCTTTTTACCTTTTAAGACAGGACCTCACTAAATTACCAGGCTAGCCTTAAATTCACTCTGTAGCCCAGGCTAGCACTGACCTCATGCTTCCCTTGCTTCACATGCCCAAGTACTTGTCCAACCTGTGCTTGCTCCCTCTTCTTGTCCCAAAACATGGATTTTCTTTGTCCTATTTTGAAGAACTACAAATTCTTTGAGTTGGGCATCTATAGCCATAGATACCTTTTCTTGCGGGGGTGGAGGGGAGTTGAGACAGGGTTTCTCTGTAGCTTTGGTCCTGGAACTAGCTCTTGTAGACCAGGCTGGTCTTGAACCCACAGAGATCCGCCTGCCTCTGCCTCCCGAGTACTGGAATTAAAGGTATACAACACCATCGCCTGGTTCATAGATACCCTTCTTATCCTCTTCCTAGATCCTGCATCCTACCACCTTCTTTACAGTATCATAATTACTCATTGAAAAAAAAAAAAATGCACTGGGCACTTAAAAAACAAACAAATCTTTTCTATGTATCCCAGGCTGGCCTTGAAGTTGGGAACCTACTGGGAACACAGGCATGTGTTACCACTCTTGGCTTACTTTTTCTTGTTTTATTATTATTTTTATTTATTATTTTTGTTTGTTTGCCTTTCTGTGTTAAAATGAGGTAATGATTTAGGAAACTTTTGTTCTTATGCTGGGGATTGAACCCAGGGCCTTGTGCACAGCTGATTTTGGTTATATCTGCAGTTGTAGGAAAGTTATTGTGGTAATTTGACTGTAATTGACCCCCATAAGCCCCTAAGGAGTGGCACTATTAGGAGTTGTGGCCTTGTTGGAAGTGTGTCACTGTGGAGCCAGGCTTTGAGGTCTTATATATGCTCAAGCCATGCCCAGTGTCTCAGTTCACTTCCTGCTGTCAGCATATCAAGATGTAAAACTCCTTCTCCCAGCACCACATCTGCCTGCATGCTGCCATGTCCCACCATGATGAAAATGAACTGAACCTTAACTGTAAGCCACCCCATTAAATATTTCCTTTATAAGACTTGCTGTTATCATGGTGTCTCTTCACAGCAATAGAAACCCTAAGACAGTGATCTAATGACTCCAATTGGTTTGAATAACATGGATGTTTATTTCACACTTACATATGTCCACTGCTGTGTTCCTCATGAGCACTGTGTATCCTGAAATGGAATAGGTTTTCTTTCTTCAAGGAGCTTGTGGTAACAAACAAGGAAGGAGTTATGGCACTTTTCTTTTAGAAAAACAAAACTCACAAGGTAGTTGGACATGGTAACATTTATAGATAATTTCCTGTACTTGGGAATTAGAGGCAGGTAGATAAAGAGTTCAAAGTCTGCTTGGATTACATGAAACTGTGCCTCAAGAAATAATAATGTCACAAGATATGAATAATATATAATGTGTATTATTCACAGAAACGATGAAAGTAAAGATGCATGCTTCTGAGGTGCAGTTTGTTTGTTTGTTTGAGACAAGGTCTTGCGTTGTAACTCAGATTGGTTGGAGCTCACTATGTAGCCCAGACTAACCTCAAACCTACAAAAATCCTCCTGCCTCAACCTGTCAAGTGCTGGAATTACAGGTGAGAGCCGCCAAGCCCAGCTTGAGGGTTACTTTATATTACATATTTGCTCCTTAGGAGGCACTGGACATGTTCATAGTTCTAAAACTCACTGCTCATGCAGAGGACTTAGTTCGGTACCCAGCATTCACATTGGGTGGCTTACAACAGCCTGTAACTCCAGCTCTGGGGGATTGTGACACCCTCTTCTGGCCACTGCAATGTCTCCTCTTTTAGTTAAAAGATGCTGAAAGAATTTAAAGGGGAAAAATTAATCTGTGTGTGTGTGTGTGGGGGGCCCAACTGTGGTCCTTTGATGGATATATTTTTCATTTATTCCTTACACAAATCCTTTAACAGTTCTTTCTAGTGGTCATAACCTTACTAACACTACCCACACCCGGACCCTGAAAGACAGCCCCAGTTTTCCCGCCACTGTGGGAGAAAGCACCATCAGAGAGGAGAAAAGAAATAAGGTTCTTGTTGAGGAATGGCATAATGAGTGCACACTCTCGGAGCTGTAAACTGCTGGTGTATGCATGTGTGATGTCTAAGCAATGAACGTCAATCCCTTTCACCCGTTTCTCAAAGAAGACTCCAAAGAAATGAGGACCCTTACCCAGAGAAACACACGTGCTCCTAAAATACTACAAACTTAAAATGTTCAGATGTTTTCATCTGAATCTTCACCTTTAAAACAGAATCCCTTTCCTATATCACTGTGGGCTAGAAATAACATGAGTACTGGCTTTAAACACCACTGGCCAAAGCTTGCAGTAGCTCTGATCTCTGTCATTCATTCATCCATTCATTCATTCTTGCTTTCTTTCTTTTCTTTTTTTAACTCAAATTACAGCAAAAGAATGAAGTCAAGAGACTGGGGGAAGATTCTCCTCAACACTTTCAAAACTATATCCCAAAGAACTGGTTTAAGAGCTCTCTCCTCCACCAGCATTTTGATGAAGTGATGGATGTCTAGCAACGCTGCAAACCAACGTGAAAAGAACCACGAAAAGAATAGGTCAGATGTCATCTTCCTCTATTCAGAAATAATGGCGGGATAATGCTACAGACCACGGTTTCCAAGGATAGGCTAGAGGGGAGGGTGAACATCGGGAAGCAAAACCAATGACCAATGACAACCTAGCATCAGGGCTCTGTATCCAAGAGAAACACCTGAGATGGGGAAGATCTTGCAATAAATAGCCCTACCAGAAATCTCGCGTGGCCAGGAATGCACGACCACCAATCCAAGCGCCCGCATCTTCCTCCACTGCCTCTCTCCCGCCCCCCGCCTAGCAACAGAAGCACTGCGGCAGAAGTGGGGGATACGGGAGAGACAAGTGGACATGGCTTGGCGGATTTAAACTCCGGTTTGAAACCCGCTACTACCACCAAAAACATTATCTGTCTCAGGCATGTCACAACACTGTGCCTCGCTTTCCCCGGCTGTCAAAATTAAATAAGGCAACGACAGTAACACCCTCAACGACAGGACCACAGGGGAACCACCCCCTTGCTGTAAAGGCAAGTTGGCAGGAGAGTTGTGCGATCTGGGGCTGCCGCCCACCTCGGGCACTCCCCGCCAGCTAGAAGCTGAGCCCCTGCACCACGCACCTTGTTGTTGTACTCCTCCACGAAGCTGCCCAGCGCCAGGCGAAAGCGCTTGTCGGGCCGCACGCTCCAGTTCATGGCGTAGACAGTCCAGGGCGCTTCATATTTGTAGATCTCCTTCCGTTTGCCGTGCAGGGACATGGTGGCGGCTGGGCCGCAGAGCCGGCCGGAGAGGCGGCGGGCTGGGGCACGAGACGGGCGGGGAGCCCGGCTTGGGTCAGCGGGTCCGAGAGGAGGCGGGACCGGGGCGCTCAGGAACGGCCTAGCCCTCCAGCGGGTCCTCTGCGATACACACACTCCGCCCGGCCCGACCACCAGTTTCAAACAAGCTCCGGCAGCGACTACCACCTTCCGTTTGGGATGCCGGCCCGCCCTCTCGGAACGGAAGCCACGCGATTCCGTAGCGACGACGAGCGTTGGCTGTCGGGTACGTCCTTTCCAAACTATTCTTTCTTTTTATTGGTCAACACAGCCTTAGCAACCCGCATCTTCCTCATGATTGGCGGAAATGTTTGTCATTCTGCTTATTCGCCCCGCCCAACTCCTAGAGGCGGGTTCTTTTGAAGTCCCAAAGATCATTGGCTAGCCAAGATGTCAGTCAGGCGGATAACGGCGCAGTGCGGGTGAATGGGGGCGTGGGTGGCCTGGGGGCAAGTGTACCTGTCTTCAAGTTCTAGGCCAAGAGTGTTAAGAGTGAAGCCTGTTGCTTTTTCACTGTTGCTGTTGTACTGAATGCCTCTCTCCGCTGCGAGTGTCAAATCCACCTTAATGAAGAACTGCGTTTATTGCCTGGCACTAAGCCGGCCGGTCCCGCAGCCTATGCCAAACGGGAACCCTCTCCAGCCCCAAGGCCACTCTCAACTATTCTCTTACAGGCCCGAGAGAGACATTCAGGGCCAGGTCACCTTGATCGAGGCTTTCCTGCGTTGTTCTATAGACACCAGAAAGACTCCCGAATTCTAGGATTGATTTCCTTCCTCGCTCCGGGGTTGTTCAAGAGCCAAATGCTAACGCAACCTTAAGTCTATGTGCCATGAGTTTGAAATGCAGAAAAGCCTGGATCTGAACACACCGTTATAAATTTAAATGCTTTCAATGATATTGAAAGAGGTTATATTGAATTGATAGGCAATATAATAAAACACATTTTAAAAATATGTTTGTGTATTTGTGTGTGCCTGAGTATATATAACTGTACCACATGGGTGCAGGTGTCCACGGAGGTCAGAAGAGGCGTTACAGGTGGTTGTGAGTTACTGGAGTTACATGTGAGAGCCTGGAATCCAACCCAGGTCCTTTCCAAGAGCAGCCAGCACTCTCCGGGGTTGCACCATCTCTACAGCCCATAAAGTACAGTATTTAATGTGATTTTAACACAGACACTGGAATCCTTGAGGGTAAATGGTATACATTTAGCAATTATCTTTTGGTCATGTCCATCTGTGTGAACAAGTCTACTGTACACATTTTTATTTATTTTTTGGTTTTTCAAGACAGAGTTTCACTGTGTAGCATGGGCTGTCCTGGAACTTGCTCTGTGGACCAGGCTGTCCTCCAGAGTACTGAGGATTAAAGGTGTGCCACACCACCATCCAGCAACAACAAAATAATACTTACCAGGAAATTTGGTTAGTATTCTATTGGTTACACCATTTCTGATTTTGCAATGGGTTAATAATGACTGTGTAGGATGAACTCAGAAGGGGTCATTCCCTTTCTATTTTATGAGAGACTCCTGAATCACTTAGGAAACAAGTCCCAGTGCGTGTGAGGGTCTATCTAGATTAGGTTCACTGATCTGGGAAGACACATCTTAACTGTGGGTGACTCTATTCCATAGGTAGGCTTCCAGGCTAAAGAAGAAGGAGCCAGCTCTGAGTGTGGGGCAGCCATCCCTTTTTGCTTTCTGACTACAGATGTAGGATGTGATCATTTGCTTGAAAGAATGACTTCTAGCCTTTGACCACCAGTCTGTAGGTATCTTTGCCAGTGAAGTGTGTGTTTTGGAGATAACAGATAGTTGGAACTTGGCTTTAAATTGTTGTTGGTGAGTGCAGGTTATTTACATGTAAGATTATTAATGAGGGGTACTTGCTAACATCTGCAATTGCATTGGTTGTCTTCTGGATTATCTTGTTATATTGTTCTGGTTCCTGGCCTCATGGCTGTTCTGCCTCAGCTTTCTCAAGTGCTGGGTTTACAGGCATTAACTTTAATTTGTATGCAGGTATGTGTGTAAGGAGGTATATGTATGTGTGCATCTGTACATATATGTGTGTGCTGGAGGACAACCTTAGGTGGTGTTCCCCAGGAATGCCACCCATCTCTTTTGAAACAGGGTCTTTAATTGGTCTGAAATTCACCAATTAGGCTAGAATGGCGGGCTAGCAAATCCCAGTGATCCTCCTGTCTCAGTGCCAGGATTACAAATGTATACTATTCATGTAGGAATTTTTCTTCTTCACTTTTTTGAGGCAGAGTTTTTTCTGTAGCTTTGGAGCCTGTCCTGCAATTCACTCTGTAGATCAGGGTGGCCCCAAGCTCATAGAGATCCCCATGCCTCTGCCTCCCTGAGTGCTGAAAGTAAAGGCATGCGCCGCCACAGCCCAGCACTTCAGGGATTTGTATGAGGGTTTGCGGAATACAGCTCAGGTCCTTATGGATCTCACCCACTAAGCCATCTCCCTAGCCCCCATATGTTGTTTCCAACTAGTGTCAAAGTCTTACTAAGGGTACAAAAAGTTAACTTTACAGTCTCAGTGTGTGTAAAACACTTGCAAGTCTGTGCTGGTCTAATCACTAACAGACTCTGAGGCATCAACTAGAAATTGCAGAAGCAGGGGAAATGGGAGTGGGAGTTAGATTAGAATTGTATGAGGAGAAAAGAAATGCTGTTTTTAAAGGCTTCTCAGGTGAGACAGTCTGGGTTGAAATCATGTTCTCCTTTTTCCAGTGTATTAGGCTTGACTTTTTATTGAAATATAATTCATATATGGGAGTGCACACATTTTTCTAAACTGAACAGATCCATGTGCCCATATCAGATCAGAAAGCAGAACAATACTGACGTGGCCGGAAGGCCACCCACACTCTGGTAAGTACTAACCCTGTGAGGACTTTAATGCCCACTCCCCGAGGTTGTCTTAAGGGTTAGGTAAACTACTATCTGCAGGATGGCGGAGTGCTGAACTAACACTGACTATTGTCATGAATCTCTACAGATACTCTGTTTCCTTCATCTGGAGATAGCGTGAGGAGGTGAGACTCCTGGGCTCAGATGAGAGGCTTTTGATGAAAGGTCTGCTCTGCTCTGCTTGGTTCTAGACTCTTGAGAGAAAGGATGACTCTGAGCTGGGAGGTGCTCGCATGCAGCCCCAAGCAAGACTCAAGATCAGAAACCTTCCTTCTTTCCTGATGCTTTGAAGCAACCCTCTGCCTGGCTTGTTGATTACATGGAACCCCGAGGGGGCTGGGGTCCTGAGCCTCTCTGCTCAAGCCCTCACCTGTCTCACCAGTCCAGTTTCTCTGAGAAAATGGTTTTCAGAGTTCCAGGCAAGAGCTGTCTGGCTCCCCCAAGAGGCTTAACTCCCTCCTCACTGTATTTCAGTCCCCTCATGGTGGCTCTTATCTTGGTACCCAATGGCTCTAACTCCTTGTGAAGCCAGGATCTGAACCGTGTCTCTGGAACTCCAGCTGCTTGGGAACAGAGCTGAGGTGTTCAGGAAGGGAGGGAAAACGGGGACCACTGATGAGTCCCTGTGTTTCCAGGGAACAGAGAGATGAGGCCAGAGGTGACAGGAGCCCCTCAGGCTGTTCTTGTTCTGAGGATGGTATGAGAGTTTGGTTCATTGCCACAGCCAAGTGACTCATCCTGGGCTTCTGAATATGTTTGTCGAAGTCACCATAGCTTAGGGTCTGGGAGAGAAGCAAAAGAGAAGGAGGTATACTGTATGTGGAGTCCAACCTCCACCTCCAGGTCAGGCGTCAGGCTAGACATTTCTTCATTTTGTGTGTACACATACATACACATACACACACACACACACACACACACACACACACACACACACACGAGTGTTGTGTATATATGAGTGAGTGAGTGTGTATGTAGTGCATGAGTACATAAATGCTGTTTCACAGGAGATGTCTGCCTTACCCTTTGTGAAAAGGTCTCTCACAAGGTCCTGGGGCTTGTCAACTGTGTCTGATTGGCTAGCCAGTGAACTCCAGGAATCTACTTGTCTTTACCTCCCCAGCCTTGGAATTACATGTATATACTGCCACATCCAGCTTTTTCTATGGGTGGTAGGGATCACACTCAGGTCCTCATACTTGCACGACAAGCACTTTCCCAACCGAGCCATCTCCTCTAAGCTGGATATTGATCCACTTTGACCTCTTAGATGGGAACTGGAAAGAGCTCTCTACCCTGCTCCTCCTCAGGGAGATGGGGGGACCCCCGGGTCTTGATATCCCTGTCTGAGCTGTGGGGTCTGTGATCACAGGCAGGACTTTGCCAGCATTCTGTGCACGCTGCTCCATCGGGTGATGTAGACTATAAAAGGACAGCAGGAGATACAGCTTCTAATCCTACCACAGACACATGGAGGCTGAGGTGAGGGTAGGAGAATCATGCAGCTGTTCCCAGGGAAATCCTGGGGATTCCCTCATCTCGCACCTGTGCAGGATGTCCCACCAGAAGCCTGGGCTCTGGACTCCGAGTCACTGAAGTTTCAGGAAACAAGGCCAGGTCACTGGAGGCAGGGGCTCCCAGGATGTAGCTGGTGTGGCCCTGTGGCTGCTGAAGCAGCTGTAGGATATGGCTGAGGTCTGAGGACATGCGGGACTCTAGTCTGCCAAACAGAGCAGACATGGTTAAAGTCAGGGTTCTGAGCGCAGCTCAGATCCTGAAGAAACCTCTCAATTTTGTGATCTGACCCCTTCCCACTGAGTGAAATGGCAGTCTGAGGCCTACCTGAAGAAATTTACCCACTAGGATCCACAGCCCTTGCCCAAATTCCCTTTAGCACACCCTTATCTTTCATGGCACCAGGGACTAGGTGTGGTTCATACCACATTCAGTCCTAATGATGCTTCGAGTAGGTATTCTAATTTTACCCATTTTATGATATGGCAAACTGAGGCACCAAGCTGATATGCCCAGAGCTTGTTCACACTTTAGCTTATGAGTTACACAGACATATTTTGAACCTAGGACTGCCATCCTTGCCTTCAAGTCTTTACTATGTCATTCACAGGAAACATCCCTTTTCCAAGAGCCTCTGTGGTTTGTTATTGCACATGGATGTGTTGCTTTCCCCAAGATAGTTCTTTGGCAAATACTCAGGTTTGCTGGAGGAAACCATCCAAGAAGTTATGCTTAGTGACATAGAATTAGAAACCTATGGTAAATGGGTTTGCCATTCTAAAACCCAACCAGGCACCTAGCAATGTCCCTAAAATACCAGGAGGTGGCGCTCACACCCAGCTACATTCTTTGCAGCTGCCCCACCCTTGCCAGAAAGGCTCTCACCTGTTCATCTGGGCCTGGAGCTGCTCTAACTTAGAGCCTAGCTCTTGAGGCCAGCAATCCAGGTTCTGCTGTGGGTTCGGAGGACTCGGAGGCATTTGCTGTAGCAATTCAGGCCAAAGCCCAGATGTGTCTGAGATGCTCAGGGAAGGGGCTGCACCTTCAGGAGGGAAGGGGATAGCCTTGGCTATGTCTGACTCCACAGGCCTGTTGCTTCTCACCAGAACCCAAGTGCTCTCCCTACTTGTCATGTGAATACAGAGTGGGGAGTGGCTCTTCTTGTCTGAGAGCTCTGAGGACAAGGTCCTGTTTTTATGGAAGTCTGGCTTCCAGGACCCAACTGGGTATATCCCTGGGAGGGGAGCGGGGTTGGGGGGCGCTCAGCTTAAATGGACTGGTCAGGGTAGGGATTCCTTGCTCCGGTCTCATTGCTCATAGAGCTGCAGCCTGAGGAGGTGTAGGGATCTCCTGGTACCTTGATACAGAACCTCAGGCACTTGGCTAGTCCCCAGCTCCAAAAGCAGTGCCCAGCAATCAGTGAGCTCTCCCTCTCTCACTCAGAGGACACAGGCCAGCAGGGCTGGGAAGAGGGATAAAGGCTTCTATCCCTTTGTCCAAGGAAGAATCGTCCCCTGCCACAGAGTGGCTGAGAAACCCTCTTTCAAGGAGAGGCAGAACAGAGGGGACACTAAGAGGGGATGGAGACAGGGCGAGGCCCTGGGCAGGGACTGTCTGAACTCACCTGACTGGCTGTCATTGATGAAGAAGCCTTGGGGTTCTTGGTTGCCTGGGGCCTGTCGGGGTGATGCCTGGAGACCCCCATCTGCCTTGTAGGGAACAAGAGCAACAAGTAACAGGGACCAAAGCTGGGACAGGGCCTCTCTTTCTCTCTCCTCTCTCTCTCTTTCTCTCTCTCTCTCTCTCTCTCTCTCTCTCTCTCTCTGTCTGTCTCCCTCTGTCTCCCTCTCTCTCTCTTTTTCTTCTTTCTTTCTTCTTCTTCTTTTTTTTTTTTTTTTTTTTGTTCCTCCCTGTCCCCAGTTTCCCTCTCTGGCCCCTGTAACAGCTGGATGAAAAAGTAAAGACATGTGTCTGGACTCCATGGGAGATCTAGTTGGCTTCCTGTAGGTGTTCTGCTAAGAGGACCTCCAGCAGAGGAACAGGTTTGGAGTTGATGACTTCACACTGGGTGACCAAGTAGAGTCCCCTAGAAAAGTCCTTAGAGGTCCTATGAATAGCAAGACTTGGGGGTGAACAGCACTTTATTCACCTTTTCTCCAGTGTCCTAGCACCTCACGCCTCAGCCTGGGCCAGTGAGTACTGTCTTTTGGTGAAGATTGGGTCTGGAACCTCTAATCTAGTGGTATCCATGGTAGCATTCTTGGCTTCCCCCTTTCTGGCACCATGAGACTTGAGGGCACCTTGGGGTTACAGTTGACTCAGGCCAGCTAAGACCACGGAGACCACATCTCTTCTGCCCTAGTGTCCAGTCGCTAGACACAAAGGTCACCAGATGGCTTCCAATAGCTAGGCTAACCAAGCAGGGTACTTACTGGATGACTCTTGTGCAGTTCAAGAAGAGGACAGAGAGTCACAGAGGGAACAACATGGGGAGGGACAATCATAGTAAGAAAATGTACCTTAGCACACCCTCTAGAACAGTGGTTCTCAATCTTCCTAACGCTGAAGCCCTTTAATACAGTTCTTCATGTTGTGGTGATCCCCAGCCATAAAATTATTTTTGTTGCTACTTCACAATTAATTTTGCTGCTGTTATGAATCATAATGTAAATATCTGTGTTTTCCAATAGTCTTAGGTGACCTCTGAGAAAGGGTCATTTCATCCCCAAAAGGGTTGCAACCCACAGGTTGAGAACTGCTGCTCTAGAAGCTGTATGCCAGGCCTAGACCATGAGATCCCTTCTCCCGAGGCTGGAGGATGGTAGTCAACAAATAATGGAGGTGTGAAGGCTCGGTGCCCAACCTAAGCCATGGTACCCCGACAGCAAGTCCCTCCCCTCTTTCTTATTAGTTGATTTCAGACTCTCCCTCCAGGAAGGGCTCTCAGAACCTTCCATTGAACCTGTAGTGCTCACCCTCCTTGGCGAACTGGATGTACTAGCTAGTTTTACGTCAACTTGACACAAGCTAGAGTCATTTGGGAAGAGGAAACCTTAATTGAGAAAATGACCCCCACCAAATTGTCCTGTGGGCAAGCCAATGGTGCATCATCCTGCTTGATGTGTGAGAGCCCAGCTCTCTGTGGGCTGTGCCATCCCTGGGTTGGTGGTCCTGGGTGCTATATGAAAGCAGGCTGAGCAAATCATGGGAGAAAACCATTAAGCAGCATTCTTCCACTGCCTCTGCATCAGCTCCTGATTCCAGGCTCCTGCACCAACTTTCTTGGATGGTGAACTACAAGCTATGAGATGAAATAAACCTTTGCTCCCCAACTTGATTTTGGTTATGGTGTTTTATCACAACAATACTAATCCTAACTAAGATACCCCAGAAATTGAATGTCTCTTGTTTACCCTTATGATTTCTTTGGCTCTTTAAATGAATGTCACTTTATTTCTCTTGGATTGTTGAGTGCTAAGATTAAAGACAACTGTATCATTATGCCTGGCACCATGGGCCCTTTGGGTGTCAGAGCCCATCTTTTTTTGTTTGCTTGTTTTAAAGCTTAGTGCCATGTGATGGGAAAGCCTGGTTTTAAAGCCAGACAACTTGAATTCATATTTTTTGGCTCTTCTATTTACTAGCCATATGACTCTGGCCCACTTACTTACCCTATCTGATCCTTATTCATTTAGATAATGGAGATAAGAACATTCACATGCAAGGACAAGCTTAAATAAAACAACCTAAAAGAAGCCTGACTTAGCTCACAATAGCTGCTCATTAAATGGGAGCAATCTAGTGGTAGCTATCTAGTTAATGCTATGTTGGCCATAGTAGGTATAGAACATCCCAGCAAAGGATGCAGGAGGAGTCGAAGGGAAGAAGCAGTGGCCAAATGAGTCCCTTAGAACAGGCAAATCAACTCCTTAGCAGGCTGGCTGGATGCTATCCACAACCAGCTCTCTGTGAACCACCACCACCCTGACCCACAGGCCCAGACTCACGTCCCGCAGGTTGAAGGTGACCTCTAGCTTATTCCAGAAGGTGTCTGCAAAGGCGGGGTACATGTCCAGCACCTCCAGCAGGTCTGCTCGATGGATCTTGTGCAGGTCACAGTAGGTCAGGGCACGTACATCCGCGCTAGATTTGCCTGGCCTGGCCTGGAGACTAACAGGCTCCCCAAAGATGTCATTCTTTCCTGCAGCCGGAAGAACAGTGGTCTCTCCAGGGCCTGGCTTCTTATGAAGACCTTCTCTCGGGCCCCTTGACTGTGATCTTCCTACCTCCCACCCCAGAGATCCCACAGAGCTGGGACCTGGTGCTGGGGGGGAGGTCTGAGGACAGCGTGCACATTGCCTCGGATTCCCTCAGCTGCTCCTGCCCCGAGAAGGTGGGTTCTCTTTTTGTCTCCGCCCCTCAGAACCCCTTCCACTAGAATGTCCTTTTTTGTTGTTGTTTATGCTCTTTAGCACAGTTCCCGTTCTGGCCCAGGGTCCAGTAGGCAGTCAATGACACTAGAGGTTCCTATTTCCTTCTGCTCCCCTGGGCCCACAGAGTAGATGACAGAGGACCCCAGGATGGAAGCTTCCAGAACCCCTGGGCAGGGCCTGGAGCTTCTGTTTCTTTGTCTTCTTACTCTCCATTGTGCAAGCAGGGAAGAGGCAGTATGGCTCTGGCAGGAGAACCCTGGGAAGCTACCTCCTGTCTGTACTTGAGTGTCTTCAACCCTCAAATGGGCACAATGGTGCCACCTACTCCACTGTTTGCAGGGGGCAGAGGTGGCGGGTTTTAGAAAGTATCCCTCAAAGCAAGAGGCCCCAGGCTAGGTCAGTGTAAGACACAAGGAGCTATGGAATCTCAGGGTGGGCATGGGGTAGATGGTCAAGGTAGGTGACACTCAAAGCCAGGAACTATGCTGGCCATGGGATGTAAGCATGAGTGAGAGCTCGTCCATGAGGAGCCCTTCAAACCCCTGAAAGGCTTAAGTTGCCAAGCTTACAGAATTAGCTCTCTTAGAATTGGATGCAGCCGAGAACTATGGGCCACGAAAGAGGGAGGGGCTCATCCTGCCTAGCATTGTTAAATCAGGGAAGGCTTCCGAATTCAAAAGGAGTAAAATTCCAAGAGGATCAAGGAGGAAGGGAATTTGGGCATAAGAAATAGAATGTGGTCATCCCTGCATAGTCAAGGCTGAGGGAAGAGGAGCCAGAGTCACAATTTCCAGGGACCATGGTTTCTTTCACTCCTTTGGCTCCCAGATAAGTCCAGCCTCCTCAGCCTTGTGGCACTGTACAAAGGACACTAATAGTTTAGCACAGACAGAGGGATCAGTGGAGCCTAGGCATGTGCCACCAAGTGAACAGGATGGAAGGGAGGGGGCTGGGGCTTAGAGAAAGAAGGGACTTGCCAGGCTCACACATGGAACCCTGGGTATCTGGGCAATGTCATACCAACCCTTATTTTTTAACACAGGAAAAATTGGGATCTAATGTCTATTTCTACTCAGGACAAGACGAGAGGATTTCTTGTCTCTCACTGAAACTTAAATTGGACCAGCTTCTTAATTATTAATATTAATTATTCCTCCCATGCAGGTGGCATTTGTAATATGGCTTAGATAAAAGGAAAGGACTCACAGCAGAGCCCATGCTGTAGGCCAGACTGGAGAAAGACTGGGTCTGCCTACCAGGTACAGGGTGGGCTCTGAAGACAGAGTGGCAGCGTGAACCCAGGCTCTGGAGTCACAGGGTGATGGGAAAGGGTTGCCTAGCTGCATCGTGGGGTACTAGGGGAGGGAGCGTGGACTCCAGGAGAGACTTGATTGGGTGGACTCGGGGGTTTACATTTGTCTGCAGACCTTAGGGACCTATGGAAGGGTTCTGAGTGAAGAGGAGCCTGTGCAGACGTGAATCACTTGGCTTTCAGAAGGCAGAAGCACTGAGGATGGATGGACCTAATGAAGGCCACACGACAGAGCTCCTGGCACCTGTCCAGGAGGGCAAGACCCAGTAGAGGCTGGTGTAGAAAACAGACCTGTCAGTAACGGAAAGAGTGCTCTCTGCATGATGGGGGCAGAGGAACGGAACCTGGCAGGATGCCCCTGTAGTTGGCTTTAGTCCGGACAATGGGAGGGTAGGGGATGCTGAAGAGGCTGCCTTTGAGGAATAGTGAAGGTGTCAAGTTGGGATCTATTGCACTTGGTCTGGCTTTTTTAAATTTTATTTTACTTTTTTGGACAGGGTCTCTTAGAGCCTAGACTAGCTTTGAGCATGTGTCACCATACCTGATTAAAGCAGTGCTGGAGATGGAACCCAGACTTTTCTGAATGCTAGGCAAGCGCTCTACTAACTGAGCCACATGCCCGACAGTCTACCTGTTTAAATCTAAGGAGACACGGAGGCTGGGGCACAGCTCTGAGGAGTCTTTTGTTTTGTTTTGTTTTGTTTTTTGAGGCAGGATTTCTATGTATTGCTTTGCAGCCTGTCCTGGAACTAGCTTTGTAGACCAGGCTGGCCTCGAACTCACAGAGATCCACCTGCCTCTGCCTCCTGAGTGCTGAGATTAAAGGTGTGCGCCACCAGCACCTGGCAGCCCTGAGGGCTCTTGTGGCTTGGGCTGTGGGAGTAGGGGGCTGGCTGGTGAAGCTGTGAAGTGTATGAGAGTGTAGCGCCAGCCCTGGGTGATACAGCTGAAGTCGGAGCTGGGGACTTGGGGTCAAGGACAAGGAAGATGCAAATAGAGGACTCTGAGGTGCTTGAAGTCAATAGACTTGCCCAAGAGTCACATGATAGGCAAGGAGCTGTGTTGAGGATTCTTTGAACTAGCTATGAAATTCTCTGGGATTAGCAAGATGGCTCAGTAAATTTAAAGGTTTTGTGGCCAAGTCTGACAACCTAAATTTGATTGCCACAGACTACATGGTGGAGGAGCAAATGGGCCAAGCTGTTCTGTGACCTCGACCTGCTGCTGTGCGTCTACCCCATCAGTAAATTAAATTCAAAAACAAAAAACCTTTAAGGGTTGGAGAGATGGCTCAGCAGTTAAAAGCACTGATCCCTCTTCCACAGGACCAGGGTTCCAGTCCCAGCACCCACAAGGCAGCTAACAACCGTCTGTAACTCCAGTTCCAGGGGATCCAACACCCTCACACAGACATACTTGCAGGCAAAACTTCAATGTACATAAAATACAATACTAAATTACTAAAAAATAAATTACTAAAAAACAAACAAACAACAACAACACCTTTTAAAAGCTCTCTGTCCTGGCCCATGGTTGGTCAGTAAAAGATACCACGGTATTTATTAGGAAGAAGGCGGTCCGGTTAGGGCCGCTCCAACCTCAATGCTGTGCCAACCCCCATGACCCACCTAGAATGGCCACGACCACGTCATCGCGCAGGATCTCGATGGAGCCTCGAGAGATGAAGTAGAGCGTGGAGAGCACATCGCCCAGGTGCACCAGCGTGTCTCCAGGCGGTGCGTGCGTGGTCTTGAACTTGACCGCGAGCGCACGCAGGCACCCCTTGCTGGCACCTTGGAAGGCGGGGCAGTGCTGCAGTAGCGCACGGTGCAGGTGCAGGCAGATGTCGGCCTGCAGGCACTCAGGGAAGCCCTTCAGCACCTGCGGGTGGGGGGCGTGGCGAGTCCCTCGGAGCACAGCTGGGGCTATGGGTGTGGTGTGGAGGAGTGGGGTGGAGTGGGGGTGGGGGCCAGCCTGCACTGGGCTCCGGACCACCCCCAGGGCATGAGACACAGCAGGTCTCACCCACTCCCAATTAGGGCTGCAGGGCTCACCGCGTTCATGTCGATGCCATTTGTGTAGGACCAGGCGTGCTGGAAATATTCTTCCAGGCGCTGCCGCAGCGGGTTGGGGATCTGGTGGAAGCGAATGAACTCCTTGACACGCAGCATCTGCGTGTGGTAGCGCGCAGTGCCCGAGTACAGGCGCTGGATGATGGCCGACACGTTGCCGAAGATGCTGGCGTACATAAGGGCTGGGGGCGGGGCGAGATGTGAGTGAGGGGATCTTGGGTAACTCCTGCTTCCCAGACCTTGCAGAACCCGGGAGAAGGACCCCTCTTTGTCCATGATGAGGGCAGAAGCGCCAAGGACAGCACTGGTGCACACAGGGACAAAGGCCTTGGGCTACTGCCCTCCTCATTCTACTTTGTGCCACCTGGCACCCAGGCTCCGAGGCCAGACTACTGCCGGAAAAAACAACAACAAAAAAGCCAAACAAACAAAAAACTAGGGCACACCCCCCACCCCCGCCCCGCGCAAGCTCAGTTTGTTTTCTCCTTCAAGTTGCAAAAATATAATACAGGTAAAACAATTGGCCTCTCATTTTCACCTTCTCCCCCTTTTCGTTTCCCTGTGTTTTTCTAAATACTTTGAACATGGCAACTTAATGTGTAAATTTCCACACCACCTCTAGAGTTCTTAACCGGGGTGTTTTGGGAGGCAGGGAGCTCTGTGTCAAGACTGTGAGCATCCAGCCTCCCAGCTGACCCTTGGGCTGGCTCTGGGACTACAGACTTCCTAGCTGTGGGTCTCCGACAAAGTCAAGACCTTTGGCTTCTCCTCTGGGACCTGGGCCCCTAAGGGAATTTGGTTTGACTTCTGTGACTGCTCAAGGGAGTGGCCAGTAGGACCAGCTTCGTGGCACCCAGCCTGTACTAAGAGCCCAAGTTATTTCTCAGCTGTCACCACCTAAATTTTTAAAAAAATAATTTTTAAACAAGGGCTCCATGTTTTATTTTACAGTGTGCCCTGCAAATGACTTGGCCTAGACCAGCGTCTCAACAGTTGCTAAGATCTCTATATGAGTGGTACACGCATATCCACAAACCGACTTGTACACAAGGGGCGGTACCCCGCATAGCACAAGAGCACACTCACAGCCAATGAGCATGACGCAGATAGAGAAGACCTTCTCAGAGTTGGTGTTGGGTGACACATTGCCAAAACCCACGCTGGTGAGGCTGCTGAAGGTGAAGTAGAGGGCTGTGACATACTTGTCCTGTACAGACGGTCCCGAGGCTGGGTCGCTGCCATTATAGTGCTTGCCAAGCTGTGCGCCCAGGCTGTCCAGCCAGCCAATCTTAGGCTCCAGGTAGGGTCGTTCCACGTTGCCGATGGCGTACCAGATGCAGGCCAGCCAGTGTGCGATGAGTGCAAAAGTGCACATGAGGAGGAAAAGTACGGCGGCTCCGTATTCAGAGTATCGGTCCAGCTTCCGGGCCACACGCACCAGCCGCAGGAGGCGTGCCGTCTTCAGTAACCCGATCAAAGTGGTGGTCTGGGGGCAGGAAAAGGTGGAGAAAGCCAGGGAGATGTCAGCTCTAGAATGTTCAGTGGGGACAAGAAGGAGACATCAGGTCAGCAGGAGCAGGTCAGGGGAGGCTCCGTAGCGATGATGCAGGAGTGCACCATGGGAGCGAAGCTAGTTCTCCAGGCATAGCGAAGGGAGAAAGGATGGGAACTCTTCATACAGGACCACAGAGGCATGGAGGTATGAAGTGGTATGGCCCATACAGGAAACCAAGTATAACCTTGCACCTGAAGCTCACAGTAGGAGGTGACAGGACAGAGAGAAAGGAGTCTGGGTAGGATGTGTGGCCACTCCATTGGGTCTGAGGATCCAGAAAGATCTTGGTTTTAACTCCAAAGGTGTTGGGAGCCATAGCAGATTCTGAGTGAGGTGTGGCAGGGTTGGCTAAGGGATCTGAGACTTGCCCCAGCTGCTGTGTAGAGGGGGCAAAGGCTGGGGAAAAGGTAGGGATGAAGGCTACTCAGGGTAGGAAGAGGCAGCAGAGAGGGGAGGGGAGGACTTAGGGATGGTTCAGTGGGGGGGGTTGGGAGGTAGGGTATACTTGATGTCCCCTGTTGGATAGGCAGGGTGATTGGAGAATGACTGGAACCCAGAAGGCAGAATGGCATGAAAATTTCTCATGTTATCTGCAGGAAGCAGAGTGGGCATAGAGAAGGGCCGAGGCAAGAAGGGATGCAGCCTGTGTAGCCCCTTCTACTCCACAGTGAGAATGGCTCACAAGTTAACATAGGAGTAGGACTATATATCCATCCCACAGAAAGCAGAATTCTAGACCAACTGGCAGCCTAATCCTCTAATTGGGCTTGATAAGAGGGAGGGACAGAAGGATGGTTCCTATGTCTGCAGACATAGCCACTCTTTCTCTGAGGCTGGGAGGTAGCAGGTGTCTGAGGCTCCTCTGTCTCCGTTTGCGGTCTGCACCAATGATGGGCATCATAGCTGTGAGGCGGGAAGGGGCCAGCATAGCTGCTGGCATGGATCAGGTGTGCTCACCTCATCTGAGCCAGTGCGGAAGATGAGCAGGTCAAAAGGGATGGCAGCCACCATGTCAATGAGAAACCAGCCCTTGAAGTAGTGGACAGCGATTCGTCGGGGGTGGCTGACCACCTCATCATTAGTGTTGACATAGGTGGTTCGGAAGTTGATGACAATATCGACAACAAACATGATGTCCACGATGAGGTCCACCACGGTGAGTGGGCTGCAGGTATAGCCACAGGTACCACGCTGTGATTCGTCCTGGTCGCTGAGCAGAAAGGCGGCTGAGTAGGGTGTGAAGACTGCTGTATAGATGACCAGAAGCAAGATAAGCCAGTCCCACACGGCCTTGAAGGGGCTGTAGTGCAGGATGGTACCTCGGTGGATGCGCGGTGCCTGTAGCTTATACTCTGGCAGCACATCTGCGCCCAGGGACAGGACCTGGGATGGAAGCCATGGATGGTCAGTGGAAACGGGCAGCATGAGTAAGTCAGGTCTAGGGGGAAGATCTGGGAAGGGGGAGTAGCTGTGGGTAAGTCACAAGGGTCTTTAAGGGCAGGGTGACAAAGGAAGGGAGGAGGTCGGGTGTGAACACAGCTCTGCTACATGGTTGATCGAAGGAAGCTCACAAGCATTCTCAGAGACAGCCCCTCTTGGGGTGAGCGGGGCCAGGCCTAGCACCATCTTGATTATGTTCTAACGAAGATCCTGGATTGAGAGTTTGGTAGGCTGTTTGTCTTCAATAGGCTTTAGAGGCCTACTGGTTTTGTTTGTTTTAGTGTTAAAGATTAAACCCAGGACCTCATTACACATGGCAGATCAGTGTTCTATCATTGAGCTAACCTCCCAACCCAAGTTTGGGGTTCTTGATGGGAACAAGTCACTTCCAGATGAGTCTTCGTTCCTAAGGTCCAATGAGGGTCTTTCCTGGACCAACTGTCAGAGCATCCCATGGAAAGAGCTAAATTTGGGTTGGAGTTTAGCCTATCTGGACACTTAACAGGTCCTGGGCTCCATGGAGCTCCATCTATATCACTCATGAGTCATTACACTCTGTAAAGTGCTTCCTTTCATCCCTGATACCCTTGCCTCCAAGACTATAACAACGGGCAGTTGCTAAGGCAGAAGCCAACAATTCCCAGGCTCTGCCCAGCTGCTTAACATGAAATAAGGCATCTGGGGTATTAGGAAGGGCATATGTTTTGAAGCCAGACACTCCAGGCTAAATTCCAGGGCTGCTATCTGTTTCATCTGTGCCTTGGGGCAAGCCATGTAACCTGTGATGCCCCTGTCCCCTCATGTGTAAGACAGGACAACAAATTGCATAGGGTTGTGAGTAAACAAGACGTATCTGTTTGCTTCTAGGTCATCCCTACTCTATCATCCTACTTTGACACTGTTCCAAAAGGATGGGATTGATGAAGGATTGACCACCGACTCCTCCATCATCAGTTGTGTTCCAAGGAAATCAGCCATGCAAGGCTTTGTTTGATCTTGCAGACTAGATCATCAGTACATGGGATCATGGGGAGAAAGAAATCAGCCTGAGTACTGACTTCCGCTAAAGTGGTCCTGATCATCAAGATTAAGTAGTCCAGACCCCCTCAATGGGAGCCACAGAGTTCTGCTGTGTCCAGCTATTAGCCTTTGTCCTTGTTTATTTTCCCAGGAACCCACTTGGGATCCCATATAGACTTGGACCTTACTTTTTCATTTTTTTTCTCTACTCTGATATGCAGCTCTGACCCCATAGTTACTCAGCTCAGTAGCTTGTGTCTCTTCACCTAGCCAGCTCTGGGTCCATGTGGACTTTCAACCAGGACCCAAACCAAAGCATCCCTGGCACCAGGAACTCTGATGCAAAGTAGCAGGTCATGTTGCCACACCCTGGGATGTCAGAACTCTCCTCTCTGCCAGGCCTTTTCTTAGTCCTGTCTGTAAGGCTAAATTGTCTCTTCCATACCTGGGGTCTGGCACTGGCTTTGCTTCAGATGACAAGGGGCAGGAAAGGGATTGTCCCCTGTGAAGTCCCTTGCTCATCCATGCCCAGCTCTTCTCCATGGCTTAACAAAGCTCATTCTGTCTTTTGAGTTGGCACTCCTTAATGGCCATGGGTCCTCGCAGACCATTTGGCCTAACTCTCTCCTGCATATGAAAGCTCTGAGGCCCAAAGGTAGGGGTGTCCCTTGTCCAAGGTCACATAGTGAGTCAGTGCCAGGATCCTGCTCACTCGAGTCTCCACCAGGGTTCTATTCATTCCCCTCTGGAAGAATCAGGCCAACAAGCCCCATGAGACGGGACTTGGGGTCAGTTGAAACAGAGGACCCAGGAAGGGACATTTGCCTTGGGCTGACCAGATAAAAAGCTGCAATGGAGGGGCAGAGAGGGGTGGGTCCCCAGGAGGTTGTTCAAAGTTAGCCAGGGGTACCAGCACAGCCCCGCCTGTCAGGCAATATCCTATAGTGAGGTAGAAAGTGACCACCATTCACTGGCATTGGCTGGGGCAGGGCTCATACAGTCCCCACTTCCTCTCCTTTTGTCTGTCTGGTCTTGATCCTCTGTGCCGCCCCTTCCTTGTGATGGCAGAGCCTTAGGCAGGCCCTGTGGTGGCCCGTGTGTTTCTTCCTCCTCCTGCATCTCCAGGCCTAGAAGGAGCTCATGGGCCTTGCTAATCTCAACCTCTGCTGGTTTCAGGAGCTGGGACACAGGGCTCTGGTCTCAGGGCAGGCCTTCGTAATGTAACTCAAACCGTACAGGAGGAGGCGGAGCACTTAGACCAAGTTGTGAGGGGGTTTGACAAATCACATCTCTCTCTACTTAGTCTGAGGCCTTGGAAGGGACCCTGGAGGTCTGACACAGCCCACCACCCCTGCCCTGCAGACTCATACCTGGGTGACCTTTTCAGTGACATTCTGTGTCCGCTCCACCACCTTGTGAGGAGCAATGATCTCAATCTCTGTGGTGGAGCCCGAGCGGTGCTTCTCCAGGTTGAACTCCACAAAGTTGAGTGTAAACTGTGGGATCTGGCTGACGGTTCTGTACTTGCCCCTGCCTGGGCCGGGCCCCTGTCCACTCGGCCTGCCGTGAGAGCCCTCTGAAAGCAGGGTCAGGGTCAGAGCAGCCAGGGCCGGGGTGGTGGCCTTGACTCTCTCTCACCAGTTATCACCTGACAGTGCTTACCAGAGCCCAGGAAGCTGTGTGACAACAGGCGCTGGCTCAGGGTTCGGCTGCTGCTTTTGGCCAGGAGCTGGGCCAGGTCCTCAAAATTGAGGATAAACATGATGACAGCCCCATCCTCATTCTTCACCGGAACCACATCCACCAGGCAGCGGAAGCTGGAGGCTGCAAACCCCATTATTGGGGATAGGGTCGGTCACCGAGGAGGCCCTTCCTGTAGTGGCCTGGCTAAGCAAGGGCCTGAGTGAAGGTCAAGTGAAGGATATCCACTAGAGAGGAGAGGCCTGGACAGTGAGCAGAGCTATTTGGCAGAGGGTGGGTGAAGCTGTCCAGCAGGTCTACACTCCCCCCCCCCCCAGCTTCCACAGGACAGAGCTGCTCATTAGGAGATAATATGGCATCAGGTCCAGTTCATGCTCAGCCCTCAGCTCAGGGCTTAGCCCTGAGGTTTGCTTCTGTGGTAATTAAAACTGAGCAGATGGGGGTGGATTAGGTGGGGGGGGTGAGGGAGGGCTTGCTATCCTCCTGTAGCTCTGGATGGCCCTGGGCTCAGCTCCCATACAGCCATCCCACAAAGATGCCTGCTTCCCTGATGCTGGAAGGGAATTGCTAGGAACACATCAAGTGCTGGGCAGGGAGCCAATTGGCACATTAGGCCTAAGGAGGTCCTGGGAGCAGGCAAATGAGAGCTCTGAGACACTGATTTGTTGGAGCTGGCGGGAGACATGGGATGAGGACCCCTAGACTCTCAGCAGATAAGAGGTTGGGAAAAAAGGGAAGGGCCTCATCTTTGAGGAGAGAGCTGGAATGTGCCCCCAGGCAGAGGCTGGGACCAAGGAGTAGACAGGGCAGTGACCTGAGGGGCTAAAGAGGGAGGGAGAAGGGACTCTGGAAACAGAACATCTTAGTGCCCCAGATCCATCTGTTGGCACCTTATGCCTCTGGCCACACTGTCCTCTCCTTGCTCTAGAGTCTCGCTATTGACTCATTGGCAGATGGACCAATACGAGTTAAAACGCTGCCTAGCTCAGAGCCCAGCCTGGGAGTGGACACCCCTTAGGTGCACTACATGTGTTAACTCAAACTATTGTTAGGTGTCAGTTGCAAAAGGCAGGATCCCCAGGGACAGCAGGCTCAGGTGACCACGCAGATCAGAAAGCCAAGCTCGTTTTCCCAGAGGGCAGGTTTGCTGCCTCTGGATTGCAGATGAACTGAAGAAAGCAAGCTTGAGTGAATGTGAGCGGACAATGGATGCAAGCTGCCTGGTGGGGGCATTGCTACTGAGGGACCACGGGGCCAGTCTCATCAGATGCCTTTCTTAGCACTCACTTTTGAACCTGGGGTGCATCCTCCCTCCTGCTTTTTCTCCAGGGAGCAAGGAATCTCCCAGATCAGATTCCTGGACTCCTAGGCACCAGGAAGCCATCTGCCAGCTGCTGCTCGGGCGCAAGAGAGACATCCACACCAGAGACACTGCCTGCCTGTTGAGCCACTCCTGGGCTCACAGTGGTCCAGTGACTCTGGTGATGTTCCTGTCCCTAAGGCCACACTATGCTTTCAGTCTCTCTGGCACTGGGGAAGTCAGTCCAGTACCAGGTGGGGAAGGGGTAGAACCGGGCAGAAGCGCAGGTGCCAGACTTTCTATGCCAGGGCTATCTCCAACTGGTTGTACCCCATTGATGCAGTGTTGGAATGAATGGACCTTTGTATCAGTAAGATCTGGGAAGTTAGCAGGGTCCTTGTATGGCTTTCTATGTCCCGCCCATCATGCCGACTACTTTGGTAGTCGATGGGAGGCGAGATGGATTGGAAAAAGCCAGGGTACTTTCTCTACCTGCAATCCAATCTGGCTATCCTTGAACCTGTGGCCCTCAGGGCCAGTGAAAGAGGGAGTGAATTGCCCTTGTTTGTGCTCAGGAATAGCACTGTGCCCGTGTCCTTGCTCTGTCCCTGCAGGAAGAGCCAGTCTCTGCCTGTTTCTTCCTTCTAGGAGTTCCTCTCAGTGGGGCAGTCTGGCCCAGAACACCCTGCTTCTGCTCTTTCACCCCCTGGCTATGCTCACCTTGTTTCTCGTGACTCATATCCCTTCCCCTCCCCACCCTGACCTTCACCCTCTCTTTTACATTGTGGCGGTCTGAGTTTGAAACCCAGCACTGTATGCACGCCAGGCAAATGCTCTCCCACACCCCTTGCCCTGCCCCAATCTCTTTATGTACACCTCACCCAGCACTGGGCTGAGCGCCTTTTGGGGCTGATGCTGTGAGCTTGATGCTACCAGGAGGGTGGCTGCATCGTGCTGCTCCTGGCTTTCCCACGCTGGCATTTGTGGGTGACCTCACCCTTGCCTATTGTCCTTATCAAGGGCTCCAGACTACAGAAATTCCAGGTAGCCTCTAATCTATCTTGGGGACTAGGGGACTCTGGTGTGGGTTCATCAGAGTGTAGATAGGACTTGGTGAAGGCACTCAGAGATGTAGGAGTGAAGCATCTGATACTGCCTATGCCTCCCACTGCACAGTTATTCATTCTAGCCCTGCCTCAGTCTCCCTTGCTTAGCTGTTAGGGGTTTCCTTTCCTGACAGAAAGATGGAGGAAAGGCCCTGGCTTCTAAAGTTCTCTGACAAGAGTCATTTTTATCAAGTACGCTGGCCTGTGAGCTGGCTATGCAGACACACAACCATAGCTCAGTGGATATAGACTGTGACTTGAGTTTTTAGTAGATTACCCTTCTAAAGGGAAAAAGGAAGCTGGGCATGGTGGTCCACGCCTTTGATTACAGCACTTGGGAGGCAGAGGCAGGTGGATCTCTCGGTTTGAGGTCAGTTTGGACTACAGAATGAGTTCCAGGATAGCCAGGGCTACACATAGAAGCTGCCTCAAAAAGTAAGTGTGTGTGTGTGTGTGTGTGTGTGTGTGTGCACGGTGGGGGATTATAAATAAATGAACTAGAGATGTGTTTAGGACCCCTTCCCAGATTCCTGGTGCTAGGAGTCGGGGCTGAAAGAGAGGAAATCACCATTAGCATGATTTTTGGCAGGATTGTGCAAAGCATATGAATATGACTTTTTGAAAAGAGCCACCTGGTCAGAGTAGACTGTTAATGTTAACGTAAGTTATCTGAGCACCTCAGGACAATGCAGTTCCTCTTCTTGGTTTCAGGTCAATTAAGGATGGTCCAGGCAGCCAAAGGCTTAGATACCAGGACAAGGAAGTCCTAAAGGTGAAATGGTGAAGACTGGAGCTATGCAGCATCAGATATATGGATAATTCTCTCTTTTTTACCCAAAGTCAGTCTCCAGGACTAGGTTCTCAGGGTCCTTTCTGTAGGCTAAAGAACCTTGACAAATTTCTGAAGACCCCAATCTTGATCTCAGGGACCAAGACTTGGCTTTGAACTCTGCCCTTTGTCCAGGCACCTACAGTGTCTGAAAGCCCTGACCTCACCTCCCCAGGGCTCTCTGATTGCCCCTCACTCTCTGCGGTACAGGTAGAGCTCTGGGGCCACAGGGGGTTGGGGGGAACCAGAATGGACCTACTCTCTTGCCACCTGCATTTCCTGTTGTTCCTCTGGGACCCTTCTCACTCCCCTGGCTGTCACCTCCTCCTTGCAATGATGTGAAGAGGCGAGGTCACAGCTTTTAAAAATATTCTGGCTTTGTTAACCCTGTGAGCACAGCCCACCCAAGCCAGACTCTTTGAGGTCTCCTACTTGTTCTATGGCTCCATCACAGCACTTCCCACCTGTGACTCACTTGGCTAGGCCAGAAAGGGACAGCCAGCAGGAGCCAGGATCTGGGTGAGGAGCCCCAGAAGCCCATAAACATACACACACACTCACACTACACACACACACTCACACTACACACACACACTCACACACATACCACACACACACTCACAGACACTCACACACATACTACACACACACACTCACACACACACACTACACACACTCACACACACAACACACTCACACTACACACACTCACACATATACTCACACACTACACACTCACACACATACCACACACATACTCACAGACATACTACACACACACACTCACACACACTCACACTACACACTCACGCACACACTCACACTATACACACATTCACACACACACTCACACTATACACAACTCACACACACTACACACACATACTCACACTACACACACACACTCACACACATACCACACACACACTCACAGACACTCACACACATACTACACACACACACTCACACACACTCACACACTACACACACTCACACTCACACAACACACTCACACTACACACACTCACACATATACTCACACACTACACACTCACACACACTCACACTACACACACATACTCACACTACACACACACACTCACACACACACCACACACACACTCACAGACACTCACACACATACTACACACACACTCACACACACTCACACACACTCACACACTACACACACACTCACACACACAACACACACAACACACTCACACTACACACTCACGCACACACTCACACTATACACACACTCACACACACTACACACACTCATACTCACACACATTCACACACACTCACACACACTATACAACACACTCACACACACTCTCACATACATTCACACTACACACTCACACACACTATACACACCACACACACACACTCACACACACACTCACACTACAAACACACACACATACACTCACACACACATACTCATGTTCCATGCACACACCAAGCCTCTGGAACTTGGGCTTAGTACTCCTTGGTCCCAATTCTAGAGGTGCCTACCCTATATGTGCACTCTGATGGCCCTCATGTTCTTTTCCATGGAGTAGCTTCTTTCTTCTGAGTATTTCTTTCCCCCAAACTCCTGCCTCCAAGCATTGAGAGAATTGAGGTCCTTTCTTTCTTAGGGTTACGCAGAACAAACATCTCTGAGGGAGGATTTCAGTTTGCCACTGACAATGGGATCTTGGGAAAGGGCCTCCCACACCCATGAAATGAAGGGAGTTATCTAAATCAGTGGTTCTTAAAATTAGCAGCAAGTCAGAACCACTGGAGATTTTTTTTCCAGATACACCTGCCTGACTTCATCTTGCACCTTCTGAGTCAGCCTCTCTCTCTAGGGAAGGTATGTTTTGCAGAACATACCCCAGGTAGTTCTAATGTAGAACCAGATTGGGGTGGGGAGACCCTGGTGATTACCAACAGGGTTTCAGTTCCTGATTGTATCCACACTACTCTCATGCACTCAGGACCCTGTCCCCAGGAGGGAGATGCAAGGGCTGGTCCTTAGCTCCTGGTTTGTGTTTGTCGTGCTCTCTGAGGACTTGGGCAACAGTAACAACACACTGTCCCTCTGGGTAAATCACCTGGTTAAGGCAAACCCAAGACTATCTTCCCAAAGAGCTGGACTTAAGTGTACCAGGCCCACTCTTTTGTTCCAGCCAGCAGCCCCCATGCGTTAGCTAGCCTTAGAGACCTTTGTGTGTGTGTGGGGGGGGGGGCTGGCTCCTTCCTTAATTCCCAGAGCAGACAGAAATGAGGGAAGGTTAATTTCCGTCCCAGATACTTAACAGCTGGGGCTGACGGTGATGGAGTGGGTAGCCAGGAAACGGAGGAGGAAAAGGGGAGTAAGAACCTCTGTCCTAGACCAGTACCAGCTCAGTCTCAAGTCCCTTAGAAGACAGGCATCCTGTGCTCCTTGCCTCCCTCTACTAACAAAACCAAGGCCCAGAGTGGGGATAGAATTTGTCTTTGGCTCTCAGGTCAGACCCTTCCCCAGGTCATTTTATGACGAATGAGAAAGAGGGCCTGCAGAACCCTTGGCCCAACCGTGTCTCACCGTCCTTTCGGTAGTAGAGGATGTCCACCTTGCACTCTTCAGCCCCAAGCAGGGCCTGTGCCAAGCGGGACACAGCACTGCTTGGAGTGTTGGGGCCTGTGAGGAAGTCACAGGTACAGGGTCGCTGCATCACCTCCACACGGGAGTAGCCAAAGAGTTCGCAGAAGCCGTCATTGCAGTAAATGATGGCACAGTTTTCCATCTGTGCATTGGCAATCAGGAACTTACGACCTGGAGTGAGAGGTAGACGTTAGGAAGACCCTGGCAGCCGGAAATGGGTAGCCAGGAGAGAAATTATAGGGTCCAAGGGCAACTGAGAAGGGGATTTACATGCCAGGACAGGCGGGGACCAGAGTGAGGGAGGTCAGAGCAGGAGGACCGAGGGAACGTTGTTCCTTCTGGGAGTGCAGAGCAGCATGAAGGTGGCAAGGGACAGAAGTGTGGGGGTGCAGGGGTCAGGCGGGGGGGGGGGGCTGTGGAAAGACCGGCACAGCTAGGGTCAGAAGGGGGGGAAGGCCCCAGAACTCCTGGGATAGTGGAGGGGGTCTGGACCAGGAAGCAGGACTATGACCCTCTGGGAGTCAGTCCTGCTCATTGGGTGAAAAGCAGGAAGTCGAGCAAATCTCTAGGAAAGGCATGAATGGTCTGGGCAGTGACTGAGAGCAGAGGCCAGGGTTTGCGACACCAACAAAACTGCTGTGGGAGGCATAAGAGCTGCACTCTGCTCAGACAGAGAACATATGAGGTGTTGGGGACATAAAAAGAAAAATTCAGAACCCAACCCTCCCCTTCACCTCCTTTTCCTTTTATCCCAACAAAAGTTAGTAAAGTCTGGCTCCTCCAGCCATCCAAACAGCACGCAGATAGTCCTCCACATCCCCAAACCTCACACTTACTCTGGCCCTCGAACTTGCGGATGATGGTGTCCAGGTAAGTGTTTTGGGGAGCGACGTGGCCCCTGCGGACTGGCATCTTTCTGTAGCAGCCACTTGCTGGGAGTCACCCGCGACCTGGCTCCTGATGTCTCCGTCAGTCCTGGGGCTCAGCGGCCTCGGGCTGGGGTGGGCGCCGCCCCCGGGGAGGGCTGTCGGGCCCCGCCCGCCCTCCAGCATCTGCCCTCTCCGCCCTCGCTGGTCCTCCCCCCGCCCACGGCTCAGCGTGCCTCCTCCCTCACGAGGCTAGCTCTCAGGAGCTGTCCGCGTCGTGGTGCTGAAACAAGCCAAGAGAGCGCAGCAAGGTGGGGTCCCGGAACTGGGCAACTTCTCTGGTTTAGTAAGGGCTCTGAATCATCCTAGGGAGAGGGGCCGGGATCCTGGACCTGAGATTCTCTGAAGAACTTACGCTCATGTCCAAATGGCCAGTGGCCTCAGCATCTCCTTGAACCCTCTCTGCTACTGAAGGGCAGTTTCCCAGGTAGGGGAGGGCAGAAGATGTTAGGGGCTTCGGGTAGCCTTTTGTTTGACTGTTGGGCCTGACTGTGGCAATAGGACACTTGGGCTTCTTGCCCACAAATACCATCCAGTAGGTTACCAGTGTCCATGCACATCTGGTGGAAAATCCAGCCAGAGCCTGTTCTAGGGAATTCTAGGAAGATGAGGTAGGATACATACACATGAAGGTACACAAAAAAATGTTCTATTCCACATCTTCTTCAGACGCCTCAGAGCTCTTCGAGCACAGGCAGGTCTTCAAAGAGGAACGAATCTAAAACTGCCTAATAGCAAATGACCACTGATAAAAGTGTCTGAGTGCTGATTATAAATGAACACACTAAAAGGCAGGCAGATCTCTATGAGTTCGAGGCCAGCCTGCTCTACAGAGGGAGTGCCAGGACAGGTTCCAAAGCTACACAGAGAAACCTGGTCTCGAAAAACAAAAACTAAATAACACAAAATAAAATGAATACACTAGAAGAAGCAAATTGGGATGAGATGAAGTTTATTGAAAAAAGGTTTTCTGGAGAGGAGGCAAGAAGGATCGCTGTCCATTAAGCACCTTGATGGATTTGGAACTTTGCAGAAGGTTCCAAGTCCAATTTTGAGCCATCTTAGTAGCAAGCATTCAAAGTGGAGCAGGCACCTTAGGCAAAGGCCCAAGGGTGGTATCAGTGAAAAGGGGGTGAATACAGAAAAAATAATAATAATTGAGAAACAGCTTCCAGGGCTAATGTGAACATCCAGATTCAATTGATGGACAGCTGAGTTCTTAAGCAGTTTGATGTTCAGAAGGAAATTTGAAGACATTTGAAGGAAATATTCTGGCAAAAATAAATTTTACAAAGTGGATGGGGGAGGGGAGATGGCCAAGGAGGCTCAGTGAGGCTTCTGCTGTAGTCCAGGCGAGAGGCTTGAGTCCTGGGCTGGATGTGCCTTTGCCACACAGAGTCACAATTCCTGGTGGGGGACCTCGGCCACAGTGGCTGAGAGATGAGAGGGCTGCCAAGTGAGGCCTCCTGGGGGCAGAGGTGTCTTGGCTGTCCCTGAATGTGGGGAGCAGGCTGGCTGTGGAAGAGAGGTGGGGCAGTGTCTCTCATACAGTCAGTATTTGAGTTGCTGAGCTCTGAGGATGGACTTGGAACGTGGGCTATTCATTCATTTGCTTATTCATTCAAGCATTTTCCCAGTCCCCATTGTGTACCAGGGCCTGTGCTGACCAGAGACATTACATAGAGTAGTCCTGATGAATGTTAAGCCTTGTGGACCTAACAGCTAATAATGAAGGCAAATAAAGGCATCAGAGTAATAAATAAGTAACAGCATATGCGATGGAGCCATCAAACAGGGTGCTGTAGAGTCTGAGGCTGGAGTAGGAAGTGTTTTGGATTAGGAGGTCTGGAGATCTGGGCAGAGATAGGAATCAGGTTATCTCACTCATTACTAAGTCTCATCAACCTGTGACTTTTGAGTTCAGATGTATATAATATAAGGAAAGCTGGTCTCATGCTTGGGCTACCTGGTGCCTCTTCTTTATGGCTTCTGGTTATAATAATTTCTCCTCAAATCTCTCCTCTTCTCTGTCACATACTGACTCCCAGACTCCCCAGGAGTCCCTGGAACTTCAGGTATTACAGTGATCAGGGGGCAGGGCAGAATGGGTTGAAAAGGGTAGGGGCAGGGACCCTTTCCCCCTTTCCCAAGATTATCCTTAGAACATCAAATCTAAAATACGCTCCTCATGGCTGTCTTCTCTCTGTTCTCCCTTCCCCCATTGAGCCTGGAAAGGTGTTGTTTGCCCTGTGTTCACTCTCCAGGGCAACGGGCCAGGCAGCAGGTGTGTGTGTGTGTGTGTGTGTGTGTGTGTGTGTGTGTTGAACAAGGCTATCTCCGGAGCAGGGTTACTGGAGATGAGCTTTGTTTAAATATTAAAGAAGTCAATCATTAATCATGCCTGGCTCAGTGCCCAGCTACCCACTGTCTCCATTCGTGAGGGCTGGGCTGGGCTGGGGAGCGCAATGGGGGCAGTTTGTGAGGTCGCTTGCATTTCAGGTGGTCAAACAAAGAGCCTTTTTGGGGCCTGGATTATGTAGTCTGAAAGGGCACGATAGAGGTGATTAGAGTGCTGTAGGCTATATACAGAACACAGGACTTGGGAACTGGGCATCAGCAATTCCTAAAGGAATGCCTAGTCCTAGTGAAGGGCAGTTTATAAGCAGACTGCAGCAGGTTCTTTTTCTAGAGATTCCTTGGCTCCTGCAACCCTAGCTAAGCACCATAGCTAAGCTCCTGAAAAACAACAACAAAAATAACAAAAGATGTGTGGAGAATCAGTTCTCCGTATGACTTGGTGTAGAGGCTGCTTCAAAGGGGTCCAGCCACTGACTCACTTAAACGATTGTCTTTGAGTCACTGTGGGAAAGTATGGTTGGTTGGCCCAGAACTCAGAATATGCATGGATCACACAAGGTCAGTCACTTGTGCCTGCCTCACAGCTTTGCAAACACAGTCACACAGGCTCGCAGATCTGCCCCAGCTGCACCCAATTACAGCTGGGCACTAGGCCTGCAGACCATATCCTCCCTGGCCTCCATCCTTCCTGCCTCAGCCATCCTCCTGCCTTTTCCCCCAGTCTCACCCGTCTCTATGGTGGCTACTCCCAGCGCTGTGACTCAGCTCTCATCCATGGAGTTTTCCTCCTGTGATGTGTGAGCATCCAAATGAGCAGGCTAAGAGAGCACAGGGTAAGGATGAAGCAGAGGCCCAGCAGGATCCACTGTCTTCGGGCTGCCTGACGGGGTTCCATGGCTATGCCCAGGAAGTGGGTGTAAGACAGGGTACTGAATCTCATAGTGTCCTTGTCCAATGGCTGTTTTTCCAAGTAGTGCAGCCTACAGCCCAGCCCCAGGATGAAGAGGAGCATGATGCAACTTATGAACAGTAGCACCCACTGCCCCAATTGGGCCTGCTCAGGCTCCATCTCCATGCCCAGGAATGACACTTTTTTTTTCCCTGTGGAAAATAAGAATAGAAGAGTCTTAAGATCAAGACAGCCTGGGGAAGGGGCTCTAGGTTCCCCTGTGACTGCCAGAAGGGACCTGATGGCCACTGTCTTCTCTCTCAGCCTCAGGGAGGGAATTGCCTTGCAGTGGGCATAAGAAGAAGAAAAAGATGTAGGAGGGTGGGGGACATAACCCACAGAGCTCACACTGGGGGCTCCTGCCCACTGACCAGAGGCCAGTTTGGCAGTCTTGCTGGATGATAAGCAAGGAAGTCACAGAGCAAGAACCGTGTATGGACTGTGGGACTGGCTGAGGCCGTCCCTGGCCCGGTACAGACAGGGGTCACGGAACTCTACTCCTGTGCTGGCTAATGCCAGGTCATAATCTGAGTAGAGCTCAGGGCTGGCCCAGAGCAGGACAGGGCAGGGCCTCAAGCTGCATCAACACCAGGGCCAGAGTTAGTTTTGTCCAACCTTCAAAAGAACAGCTGAAGTCTGGCCAGCCAAGAATGTCCCCTTGCTTCATATTCTCGTCCACCAGCCAGGTCAGCAGTGGCTTGAAGTAGGTCAAGAGGGCCTTGGTGGATACATTGGACTCTCCAGTCATCTCCTTTAGGATCTCCTGCCAGGGCCGGCTGGAGCCCAGCTTCAGGGTGTTCCTGGGGGGAAATGGAGTCATCTGTGAGGCCATGTGGGAGTGTGAGCAGGTGCCACTGGGACCCCTCAGTATACACAATTCTAATTCCTGAATTTTGCCAGCCAGGACCCTAGAGCTGTGATCACTGGGTGTGACTCTCAACTCTGTCCCTATGATACCGTGGACAAATGACTTATCGGAGGCTCCATTGTCATCTCCATAACAGGAGGTACAGGACAGGGCTGCTATCATTTTGGGAAGCACTAAACACCAATGCTGTTGATTGGCATTGGTGTTACTGTGGGCATTGTTATTCTCAACTCAAACAGGCAGCCACCCCGAGCCTCTGTTTACCCTGATGTTATTTGAGGTAGTACCCACCCTTCTTGGCCACACAGTGGGGGGAATTGAGAGAATTCAAGTGTTGTGAGCATGGGAGGCTCTCTGTGCACCTGCAATGCTGCACAAATAACAGCCTTCTTGGGGAACACCCAGGACTTGGTGACAGATGGCAGGCACACTGCATTCACTATGGGGGCTGGTTCAGAGGGCACCAAAGCCAGAGCTCCAGGCTCTTTACACTGCCCTTGCCAAACAATAGCACTGGGCAGGTGTTGGCATTTCTCAACCTGTTGTTCCAGGGTCTTACCAGGAAAGAGGTGGGACATGGGCTGTTAGAAGTCACTGTGTAGGGTACCCAGGTTCAAAACCCAGTAATGTTACTTATAGACCATATAACCTTAGGCATTTAACCTCTCTCAGCCTGAGTTTCCTCATCAGTAACATGAGTTCAGTATCAAGTCACGTGCTGGTGAAGAAGGTTGTAAATTGCCAGATTTGTACGTGCTACTTGATAGACAGCTGGAGCCAAATGTGGGAACTGAAGGCCACTACATATTTGGCAGAAACTACAGGGCACATTTGCCTAGCATGCATGATTTGCATGGGTTTGATTTCCCAGAATTTCAAGAAAAGAAACAAGGGAAGAAAGGAAAAAGGAAAGAAATCACTGAGAGAAAATCTGTTAAGGTTTAGTACTAGAGGTTAAAGGCACAGAGCTACTAAGAGTAAAATAATAGGAAAAAAAATCATGACTCCTAACTGATTCAAGTTTTTTAGATCCTGGGTAAAGGAAAAAACCTGGTGTGGGCTAGGATCTCACTATGTAGCCCAGGCTGGCTTTGAACTCACAATCCCCCTGCTACAGTCTACTTGATGCTAGGAGCACAAATTTGTACCACCACACACAATTGAGAGAATAGCGTTGACTGAGAATCTGCCTGTGTAGAAACAGCTCCACAGGGATGGGATGTGTGGCCAGAGCCCAGCTACAAGCCTCTAACAAAGGGCTATAGTGCAGTTGCTGGACTCTGCCTCAACCTCCAAACTGAAAACACAGTCCACAGATGGTAGCAGGCCCATCACGGCTGGGGGACTTTAAGAGTCCACTTACTACGCCCATCACAACCAGAACTCGCATGGAGGATGGGTGCAGATAAGAGAAGCACACAGAAGCCACACTAGGCAGAAGACTCCACCCCCTTCCCTGTGAACTTGGAGAACCCTGAATAAACCTTCCAGACAAGCTGTTTCGTATTCTCTTAACCTCCAATCACCTTTCCCCACGCTGGAGCCCATAAATATCTCCATGCCATGTCCTCAGTGTACTGGGACTTGGGTCTCTAACTCCTCACACATGGCCATTTTGTGAATAAATTTTCTCTTTTACAAAATGAGTCCTTTCTCCCATTAGGATATTAATGGCTGTCAAGGCAGGCCTGGTAATGCCAGCTTCCTGCCCCTTCGAGCCCATCTCTCCTCCCTCTCCTGCACTCCACTCTGTTTCCATTTAATCACCCTAAAGCTTGTGATTTCCTCTGTCTACTGCCCAGAGAATGGTGTGCAAGGTGTTCAGCCTGGAATCCAGGGTGCTCTCGGACCAGGGGTGTAGACAGTGAAGCAGGCAGACTGACTAACAATGTCACATGCTTTGGGGTTAAGTCAAACACAGAGTCCTGTTTATCATGGGTGGGGTGGAGGAGAGAAGTAGGGACAACGGTTGAGGTCAAATGTCTCACACCAAGCAAGTGGGATAAATCGGAGTTAGAAGTGAGCGGATGTGAAGAAAACACATCTGCTTCTTCCATGTCTGGCATTTGGGGACAAACATCCCTCTCGTTTCCAGCTGGGCTTTGTAACCCTCAATACATTCACTAAAGTCTTTTCTATGCTTCAGCCTCCGTTTTTAGTATTAGAGGGTTCATTTATTTCATGGTTTAATGCCCCCTGCTGGACACAGGGTGGCTGATCAGCCATGTTGGAGGTAAATGCTGAATGAACAAGACAAGCAGCTAGAGGTTGAATGAAGAGCCCAGAGAGAAGTCAGAGATGGAGTGATAGTGTCAGGCTATCACTTGTATATGTATGTATACACACCTACGCCTATGTATAAAGGAGGGATGACTTGACAGGGGAGGTGACTGCCATGTCACTGGCCCTCTCTGCAAAGTCCTGAGGATCAGTCCTTGTAGTTCACGTGGCCCAGTGGTTGCAGATGGTTAAACTGCATGGAGGAGCCATAGATAAACTCATTACGAATATAAAGGAAGCCAGGCATAGTGGCCCATGCCTGTAATCCCAGTACTCCAGGGAGGATCTCAAGTCTGAGGCTAGCCTGGACTGTACTATAAAACCATGTCTGAAAAACCAGTACAACTGAAAATCTAAAAATGCAAGCTGGGGATATTAGATCATGCATCACTAATGCTCTGGAGGGCAGAAACGAAGCTCAAAGTGACCTTGAACAGTTAAAGGAACAGACCAAAATCAGTAGCAGTCAAGAGAGCAAAGACCTGGCCAGTGGGTGGATGCCCCAACTCAGCGGTTGGAGAGCTGATCTTGGAACCGGAAGACTTGATGTGATGTCACCGGAGCCTGCATCCCTAGACTGATGGAGGTGACACCTCCTTTCTTGGAAGCCTCTCCTCTGCCACTGCCCAGGGAATGGTGTTCAAGCCTGGAATTCAGGGTCTCCTCAGACCATGGGTGTCGATGGTGAAGCAGGGGGAAAGATGGACCATCTATTGATTGGAACAGTTTTGCAATCAGTTCTGGATTCAAATCATGAATTTCCTTCTTGCTAAAATGAATGACATACTATCAAGTCAGTTCTCTGTAAAAAGCCAATGATAATTTTCTAACTTACAAAGTTAAGAGCTGCCAGTGTGAAGCATGGAAAAAGAGCTTGAAGCCACCTATCACAGAAAATGCTATGCATGTTCAGTTTAGGTCCTCTACCTACCCTTCAAGGTGGTACCAAGGCCACAAACGAGGGCCACAACAACAGATCTGGAAAGGAATGGGCTAAACATCAAATGCAGGAGAAAAGACTGGAGTGGAGGTTCAGAATGGGCCACAGGCTGGCTAGAGTGTGTCAAGAAGGCCAGAGTAGAAGGAACTTCAGTTGGCCTGGGAATCGGGCTGAGCACTTTGGTGAAGAGTCAGGAAAGGCAAATGACCAAAGGGTGCTTCACACACTACGAGGAGGACAGACAGATGTTCACAAAGATAACAGAAGCAGATTTTGGTGGCTAAAGGCTGATGCAGGATGCCAGTCCTGGCTTTCCATAGGCTGACTGACTGCATATGTGAGTGTGTGCGGTGATCAAAACACCTCTGACCACAGCATGGTAAAACAAACAAACAAACAACAACAATAAAAACAGGCTTGTATCTGCCTCCATCAGTCACTGAATGGAGGCTCTCCGATGACAATTGGAGTAGTCACCAATCTAATCACAGGGGATGGCCCGTTCAGCTATGCATCCACTGCTGCCAGGAGTCTTAGCTAGGGCCATCCTTGTAGACTCATAGAAGTTTGCCTTGTATCAGGCTTCTACCCTACTCTGTAAAGCCCCCTTTCCAGTCATTTCTCTCAGCACCTTCCCGCTCTGTACATGCACCAACCTGATCCCTCAAGTTCCCATGCCCACCCACTCCCGGTGTGAGTACTGGAGGAGGTACTAGATATGGCATGCTTTGCTAATGCCTGTGGGAGGCCCTGCCCCTATCTGAGGGAATATGGGGGAGGAGAGGATTGAGTAGGGGGCAGAGGGGTAGAGGCGTGGCAGGGAAGAGAGGCTGCAGTCGGGATGTAATAATAAATAATGAATAAAAATTTTAAACAGCGCTCGTGTTAATAATGTAAGAAATTACATTCTAGCGCAAGAAAGTGTTTCCACCAAAATGTCAGCTCCGTGTAGTTGCACAGGGAGCTCTGGGGGGGCATTGTGAGGAGGGGGAGTCTGGAGGGAAGACAGTGGGAACTGAGGGAAAACGAGGGAGGTGTGCACTCACCCCAGCATCTTCCCAGCCACCTTGGAGTTATAGATATCACATTGGTGCAGAGGGCCCTCGTGACCTGCGGCCCTGCACAGTGCTTCATGAAGTTGAAACTGGAGCACTAGGCTGAGGAAATACCTGGGGAGAGGAAGAAGAAGGCAGACTGCGGAGGGGAGGCCAGGGGTGGGAAGGCTAGACCTGCTGGAGCATGGAGTGGCCACAGGATTGAAGTGGCCAAAGGAGCCCATCTTTGCACTATCTGGAACTTCTCCTCCCAGTCCCCATGTCTCACGGATCCCAGCCAACTCTGCCAACAGGGCCCAGACCTTTACCGGATGTAGGGCACACTGGCAGAAATGTGGAATTTGGCCCCTGGGTCAAAATCTTCTTCTGACCGAGGAACAGGTGGGCACAGGCCCTGGTACTTCAACCTGGTGGGAGAGAGATGGGGGCTTGGTCATGGATCCTGGAGGGTTCTCCGAGCCTTTTCCTGTTAGAAGTATGTGTGTAGTTCAGCCAATCTGGGCCTGGCCTGCAGATTCAGTGCTTGTCCCTTGACTAGACAAGTAAGGGCACATGGAATCAAAACTCAGGAATTGCAGTAACAGTGATTGAGCATGTCACCTGCTCTTCACATGGACTCCCTCTCACTCAACACCAGCATGGTCTCTGTGGAGATGCCATCAAAGGACCAAGTGAGGTCAGGTCCTTGCTTGCATCTATCCTATGAGGTCAGATTATAGACCAGGAAACAGGTCATCTTCTCTAAACAGTGCTAAGAAGAAAATAGAAAGCCAGGTATAGTGGCGCATGCTGTTATTCCCAGCATTCAAGAGGCAGAGGCAGGTAGATCTCTGAGTTCGGGGCCAGTTTGGTGTACAGAGCAAGTTCCAGGACAGCCAGGGCTACAATGAAAAACAATAACAACATAATAAAAACAAAGACAAACAACAAACCCCCAGAAGTGTCCCTGTGCTGTTGTAGTATTATTAGTAGTACCATTCCCATTTTACAGAATCGTCAATCAAAATTTTAAGGTCAGGGAACTGGTCATAGAACCCAGGACATAGTCACTGGCAGACTTTGTCACCTGGGACTCTGGTATGCATTCTCTGATCTGTGTGACTGTGGGGGACCACGAAGCTGAGGAAATTTGTGTCTTGTTATGAAGCAGATGAAATGCCTGGTTTGGGGAAGAGCTAACTATGAGAAGATTCATTGTTCGTTGTTGACTCACTAACACCTCTGGTCAGTCTCAGGGTGTCTTTCCTGAAGGTTCACCTGAGGAATGGTGGCCCTCACTCTGCCCCTGGGTTCCATTGGCTGGTTGATGGCAGGCATGGATGATAGAGGAGGGAAAGAACCCCCCCCTTGGGTGCCCTGGTAGCTGGCGTGGCCACACTTGGAGGGTACAGGCCAAGACCTTGCTGAGCACACAGTCAGGGAGTGGCAGGACTAACGAAAGAGCAGTCAGTCCTCTCAAGTGCTAGAATGTGGTGTGACCCACCCTGGGCTGGTTATATGACCTCTGAGTGTCAGTACTGAAAGCCTGTTGAGCCAGGACACCTGATAGGACAGTTGCAAAGATCCAAATGATCGCGAAGGCCTGGTGAAGAGCTGTATATAGGCCACCCATGTGTTCAGAGATCTTGGACTTGGTAATCTGATGCCTGATGGACATGGAGAGGCCTTGGTTATGGGCATTTTCTGCCCAGTCAATGGACCTGCTTGACAGCTGCTGAGTTTTCCATAGTCTGGAGCTAAGATTCCAACATGCATGTGTGTTGGGGTGATGACCTGTTTCACTTCCATGGGAACTCTTTCCAGCAAGCAAAGTGCTTGGGCCTCTCCCATCCCTTCTCCTGGGCTTCTGTGGAGGGAGCAGGCAGCAGGGGTCTGCTTGTTGGTCACTGTATTCTGGGCTTTTGATTTTTGTTTATTTGAGTTTGTCTTTTGAAGATAGAATTTCATGTGGTCCATGCTGAATTCCAACTGGTTATGTAGTCAATGAGCTGCTGGCCATGTCTGCAAGACCCTGCCATCTCCTCCTGCCTCCTGATCCTCCTGCCTCCACATCCCAGGTGCTAGGGTTACAGGTGTGAGCCACCACACTAAATTACTGCTCTGTTCTCAGAGAGGCCCTAGCGGATTTCATGGTGTGAGATTTCTGGCCACTCACAGAGCACATAGAGCCACTGCTAGAGTCCCCATTTCACAGATGAGACAGAAGCCTAGGAAAGTTAAGAGACCTGCCCACTGCTGGCACCAGATTGAGAGCAAGACCTCATGGCCACCATGCTGGCTCTAGGCATTCAGTCTGTCTACTTTTGCCTAGCGACAGCAAATAGCACACATGGCCTGGTTTCCCCAGGTTCCTAGGACATGGGCACTGCAGTCTTGCAGGCATCCACCTTCCCCACCTGAAGTTCCACCACTCCTGGTTGTAGAGGCTCTTCGTAATAGTGCCATCAAAGACCTTCCAACGAAACACGTCTATCATGTAGCTGAAGGGGATGAAGGCAATCTTCTCCAGGGCAATGCCTAGCAGGAAGTTGACCTCCTCCTCTGGGGATGGGGTCAGGGCAATCAGGAGGCAGCTTCTTGGCCCTCCCTTTCTTCAGCCTTGCCCTGAGGGCTTTAGTCCCCCTCAGCCCTATCTGAAGCCCCAGGCTCAGGCTGCCCTCCCCTTGTCCCTTTGGTCCCCATCACCTGAATCCTGGTTCGGTTGGCTGAGCAGACCTCTGTTGAGCAGGTGCTTGTGGGAAGAGGCTGAGAGGGTGATCACCGACCCCACAGCCTCTTCAAAGGCTGGGCTGGCACCTTCTTGGTAGATTATAGAGAGGTTCTGGAACTGCAAGAAGTACTGGATATGGCCCATCTGGTGGAAGATGGAGAGCAGGTCTTCTATGGTCACTTCGGTGCACTTCTTTACCCTAGGGTTAAAGGGTAGGGGTCAAGGAGCATGGGGATGCCCTGGGGACTCTTATAGCTTCTTCTTTCAAACTTCATTAAGGCATTGAGGCCATCAAAGACAAGAGGGCCTGGGCCACCGTGTTTCCCCACTCTAGACCCCGTATCTACCCAGTGACCATGTCCACTATTCTCTGCACCCACCTTGTCTTCCATGCTTGGATCTCATCCCCCTCCTCCTGCCCTGTTCTCTCCTGCCCACTCCTTGCTACATGGCCAGTAGGGAAACAGAAGAGGAGTCACAGCAGGGTGCTGGCTGAAGATCATGCTGGCTGTAGATACCTGACATCATCGCTTTTGTAGAATTTCCAGGCTGAGGCATGACACTCCACTTCCCGCCCATCAGTTGGCCTCTCCAGCATTGATTTTATCCAGAAATCAGGTGGGGCGGGCAGCAGTCCCATAGAGGTAAAGAAGATATTAGCCTCTTGAAACATTTTGTCAGGTTTCCAGTGCTGTGGGGAAAAGAGGTACCATAGTTCCGTCTGCCCATTTGCCTAAGAGGACTGTGGGCTGGGGACATCCAAAGGCTCAGCACTGACCTGGTCCCTCATGATCTTTGTGATGTCCTCAGGTGGCTTTTTTGGGTAGGGCAGGACCAAGTCTAGGATGTTGTCCCAGGACTGAGCCCACATGTTCCCTGGAAAGGGGGTGAAGGGGCTAAGGGAAGGCAAGAGTGGCCTTCCTTCCTATCTCCCTCTGCCACCAGTCTGGCCCTTACCCAGGAGGTGGGCAGGGATGGGCCCCCGCAGGTGGATGATCTCAGGCCCATAGTATCGGTACAGTGAGCGTCGCACATAGGCATGGAGGTTCAGGTAGAGAGGCTGCAGCTCCTCAAAGAGCTTCTCCAGGTCTTGCTCCAGGGTGTCAGACTCATACTTGGATCTCCACAGATCCCCCATGTCTTTGTACCCTAAGACGGGAGGAGAGACCCACCGCTGCTCACAGTACCACCCTGCCCACAATGAGCTGGCAAGGAGGAGACCTGGATGTGCTCCAAGGAAACATTTCTACCTCTCTGCTCCTTGCAGGCCTTGGGTGTGAAAACGACCTCTGCAGGCATTGCCCACCCTGCAGACTGGCTCAGAGCGAGAAAGAACAGAGGGACTCCCACAGTGGGAGGCCCTAGTCGTGCCTGGTAAAATCCTATCTTTTCCTACGACCATGTCCCGAGCCCCAGATCACCCAAAGCCCTGTGGTCATGTGGGTTTCCTCCCCCTGTGGTGTAGTGTCCGTGTGCACTCTTCCTTTCTTCCTGCTTGTCTGTCCCCTACTCATCTTTCCAGCATGGGTACATGTAGAGAGACATGACCATATATCCGAAGTCCCCCCCCCCATCCCAGCAGCCCCTTCCTCCATGGCATCATATTAAAGGGGAGTTAGAGATGCATGTGTGCTGGAAGATGCTCACTTTCCCGTCGGACTGCCAGGAGGAAGCCCGTGAGGTAAACATCTATCTTTTCATTTACAGAGTCTTGGGGTCTCTCCATCACCCAGCCCACAGTGCAGGCTCTAACTTTATTTGCAGGACCTGGTTACAAGGCTCATGCTCGCCCTCACCCCACCCCCACCCCCAATCCACATCCATTCTGCTGCCCCCTCTGCAGCTTCGGTTCCTTTCTTCTCCTGGGCACTGACCCGGACGTCATGCCCAGCCTGCTTACCATTATATTGTGCTGCCTTATTGCTGAGATGTACATAGTAGTCGAAGGTAGGACGGATCTGGCGACCTACAGCATCCCGCCAGCCCTGCCAGGCCCACACGAGCTCCTTCTGGTCCCTGGATTTGGCCATGATTTCTTGGAGGTCTGTGATCAGAATAGGAGCCACACGAGACACATGGCCACCAGCCTCTACTCTCACCTACCCTGGGTGCTTCCCCTCCAGCAGGAGAGCACAGTCGCGGTCAGGGGCAGCGCTTGGTTGCTCACCAGGCTCCAGAGACAAGCAGGGACCCTCATGCAGGCACACCTCAGCTGTACTATATGCTGTCTCCATGTAGGTCAGAAGTCTGTTGTACTGGGGGGGCAAGTGTCACCCAGGGCAGGCCCATGCCCTTGGGCCCACTCCCAACATCAGCCCCGCCAGCCAGGAGAGGTAGACCTGGCTAAAGTACCCCTTCCTCCTCTAGAGGAAGCTCTGGTTCCACCCCACCAACACCCCATCCTGCCCAGATACTCTTGGTTCCCAGTCAGACCTGACCCACCCTCCCCTGGGATGCAGAAGTGTGTGCCTTGGAGGCCTGGGGCTCTGTCTATCACCTCCCGGAGATCCTCCGTGGGCAAGGCCGACTTGTCTACGTTCTGCAGCTTACTCAGCATGCGCTTCACTTCCGGGTCCTGGAAATGGTCTGTCTTAAACAAGCGGGCTCGGCTACCAAAGTACAACATGAACTGAGATCTCTCCGCCTCCTTCTGCAGCTGGAAAGAAGGTCATCATATTGGTTGTGGCAGGTTGGGGAGGGGATGCAGAACCGGGTCCCACGCTGAATTCCCACTTTAAGGGTCCAGAGTCATTGAAGATTTGCTAAAAGGGAGGGGATGCTCAAGTCCTTAAAAGCAAGGAGGTAAAACTTGCAAAGAAAACGAATCCAGAAATTCTTATGTAGAGAAAATTCAAGGCCACGGAGAGGCCTGGAGCTTGCAGCCCACTTTGACATTTGTTTGGGGGTGTCCCTTTTTCCACATTCTGTGGACTAAGAGCAGGAACTATGATCCCCAACTTCCAGGATCCCTAAGAATCAAGGGGAGGGAGGACCTGGGGGGAAATGGTACCACACCATGGTCTGTCGATTTCGCTTGGTGATGTTGGTGACATAGTTCCAAGTGGCCTCCATGAACTCATTCAACACAACTTGGGCTGTTTGCTCATAAAACTTCAGGAACATCTTTGCCTGAGTTTCATTGTAGAACTCATCTGCAGGGAAGGGGATCATGTGGGCCTGGGGAAGGGACTGCCCCTTCCCAATCCTCTTATTTGGTCTTTCCTTCAGGTCCCAGCCATACCTACGGTTGGCTTTCCCATAGTCCTGAGCCATGACAAGAGCTGCCCATAATAGAGGAGCACAAGTAGGGAAGGTCCAGGGCAAGTCCATCTTGTTCCCATGACCAAGAGAACAGCAGAGCCGGGAGAGGTAATGGCCAATCACGAGTCAGCTCCATGTTTGTGACATCAGGGGCCAAAGGGTCTACCATGGAATGTTAGAACTAGAAAGATTGCCCACCCAGCTTCTCGTGAAACTGTCCCTATTAAGCAAGGTGAGGACCCATCTGAAGTCCAGTAGAGTTGAGTCACGTGACCTGGTGTACGTGGCTAGCTAGTGGCTGAGCTAAGAGGAGAATTTGACTTTTAAGCCAGAACTCATTCTATTTGGTCACTTTTCCCTGGGGTTGAAGGAACCCTTGGGCTTTGTGGCTAGGCATTGTGAGACATCCTCCTTCATAGGCTGGGCTTACTTGAATAAGTGCGATATTGGGTGGAGGGTAGTTGAATGGATGGATGAGTGGATGGATGGATGGATACATGGGCAGAAGTTACATTTTTTTGGGTCTTTAGACTCTTAAAAACCTAGTTGTTTTCCCAGTTTCTTATGACTTGACCTCTTAGGCCCATATTTTTGGTCTTTTTCTCTCAGGAGACACGTGATCAACTCCAGGGCTCCCTCTCTCTTCCCCTTCCCCTATTAGAGCTCTATGGGGAATGGAGACGTATGGCTGATGCCCTCCATTCAGGGTCCATGTCCATGAGTACCTGAGACTGGTTTCCAAACCAATCATGGGACTCTGTTCCCTGCTAGCTCTTGGTGACTCCCAAGAACTCAAGTGCACAGAATTTGGGAGGGCTGCCCAATCTGTTGCATTTTGGGATTTCTTGGATTCTCCTCATCCCTGTACCTGCAGACTCTATCCTGTCTCCTTTACCCTCAGCCTAATGGACCACCCACCCCTTTTACATGTGCTGACACCATGACCATTGAAACTGACAACATAATTCCATCCCCAAATATTAGTCATTGTTATCAAAACATTTAAAATATAAGGAAAGAGGGTTGGGCTGGTTAAGCTTACAGGAAAACCCTTCTTGCTTGAAGCAAAGCAGGATTTGGGGCATAGGCATGATGGTGCATGGCAAGACCCCTGTCTAAAAGAAGCATAAGGTTTTGCATTATTGAGATTGGGTCTTGCTCTGTAGCCTAAAGCTGGTCTTGAACTAAAAATGTTTCTGCCTTAACCTCAGGAATTTGGCATGTATCACCATGCCCAGTAAATGCAAAATGCAGAGCTGAGCTAGAAAAGGAGAAAGAGACTCTCCAGATAATAGACAAAGAAGACAAGAAGTAAGTAGCTGCCTCTGCCACAAAGATGCAGCACTGGTAACCTGGAGCAACCAGTCACTTCCTACAGTTAGATGTGACATTTTTCATAAAGCTGGAAGCCAGAAGGCTTGATTCCTCCATCTTCCCTCCCTCCCTCCCTCTTCCAGACCTGACCCCTTTTCTCTATATTGTCTCTTGGAGGCCAGTCTAGGCTTGGACTTACCTAGCTGAAGATGGCTTTGAACTCCTGATGCTCCTATCTCCCTAGTACTGCAAGCGGTCCTGGTTTACGTGGTGCTGGGGATTATACCCAGAGCCTTGCGAATGCCAGACAGGCACTTAATGGACTGAGCTACATCTGCAGCTCACATAGATGGCTCGCAAGTGAATCTTCTCAAAAAGAAGAGAAAATCTAGGGTCAATTGTGGTCGATATCCAGCCACACAGAGGACTTTCCAAGGACTGAGCACTTCGAGGCAACTTACACCATCACAGTCGTTTTAACAAACCCATGAGGTAGGCACTTTGCTCAACACCCAAGCAGAGGGGCTAAGGAACTGCTCACAAGACACACAGGTAGCAAATAATGCTTCCAGAGCTTGCACTCAATGGCATAGAAACAGTGAAAGGAGCTGATTCCACCAAGGAAAGAACAGGAAGTTGTTCTCAGACCTCCCCATGTGTGCTGTGGTAAGCAACCCCCAATAAATAAATGTAATTTAAAACAAAATAAAACACACGATGAGTCATGAAAAATATGTACTGGCCAGATGGCCAGGTATGGTGGCTCACACCTATAATTCTGGTACTCAGGACGCTGAGGCAGGAGGATCACTACCTCCTTTTTCTCTGCTAACTTTCAGGTGGACCCCATCTCTCCTCACTCACCCAAGGAAGCATAAACAGGAGTTTGAACAAGTGTAATGTTTGAGAATGTTGGCAGATGCATATAATCCCAGTATTCAGGAGGCTCAGGTCAGTTTGGTTTACATAGCAAGACCACTGCTACAAAACACAAAGTCCAAAACAATATGGGAAAGTGCTCGCTGTGCAAGATTAAGGACCTAAGTTCAAATCCCCTGAACCCTGGTAAGAGCTGGGCACATGAGTGCATGTCCAGATCTGGCAGGAGCATGGACAGGATTTCTCAGGCTTCCTGGCCACTAGGCTAGTAGGATTGACAAGCTCCTGGTTCAGTGAGAAACTTTGTCTCAAAAACTAAAGTGGATGGATGACTGGCGAACCGATTCAAATAAGGTGCCAAGCCTGACAACCTGAACCCCAGGTCCCACACAGTAGAAGAGCCAACTTCTGCAAGTTGTCCTCTGACCTCCACAAGTGCTCCATGGTATCCGCATGTGCACAAGCCCTGCCTGCCATACAATAAAAACAAAATGGGGTCAGGGTCTGCCAAGAGGACACAGTGGGTAAAACTCTTGCTGTGCAAGGCTGACAACCTGCGTTCCATCTACAGAACCCTTTAAAAGGAGAGAACACACTTCTGTAAATTGTCTTCTGAGCTCTACACTGTCTTCTGAGCACACACACACAGACACAGACACAGACACAGACACAGACACAGACACACACACACACACACACACACACACACACACACACACACAGAGTCCAGTAGGTAAGACTTTGCCAGGGTAACCACATGGTGAAATGCTTTGCCCTTAGTCTGTAGCTCGTCCTTTTGGGTAAAGACTGGTGACCTCACATTGCCCACAGCCCTGAAAGGCAGCATGAACCTCTGTAGTTTATAAAAATAGGAAAGGAGGTTATGTGACAATGACCTTTGTCTGACAAACAAGTTGCAAAACACAGGTTGGGAAGGGGGTGGGGTAGGGGAACTAAAGTCTGCAGTATACGAATGGGAACAATCTAGAGGCTATGTTTATAAGTTTCATTGTCTTGCTGAAGCATAAACATCTACCCTCTTGCAAATCCAAAATTCCCCAACTCCATATCCTGCACAAACACATACATACACAGGCCAACAGACACACATGTACACACATATATACACAGATACACTATACACATACATACACATACCACAAACCATACACACACAGACACACCATACACACCACACAGACATACACAAAGCACATGCCACACACACGCAGACACACCATACATACCACACATACATACCACATACCATATACATAGAGAGACACCACATACCACACACACACACACACACACACACCACATACCAAACACACACATGACACACACATGCTAGAGACTGAGCAGTAAAAACCAGGCTAAGGATATTAGGGGCCAGAAACTGGAGTCATGAACCTTACTAGGGTAAAAATGTGAGCAAAAGCTGAAGACAGCTTGAGCTGAGGATCCATTTAACAGAGGTGGGACCAGACTGGAAGGTAAGACTCTGTCCCAGAAATCTGACCAATTTCCATTTGGTCAAGAGCTACATACTTGAAAAGTTGATGTATTTATGTTAAAGGGGGGAGATACACAGAATACAGTGGTGTTCTATTCACATTGGGTATAGAGGGGGGAAATGGCTGGGGCTGTGCACACTAAAATGTCAACAGTGCTTAAATCTCTTCATGAGGCTATTATGGGCTTTTATTCAGAGTTTTCCAAATTTCCTATATAAGCATGTAGAGAAAAACTATTTTTAAAATTTCCTGAAAATGACACCCTCCAAAATCCAAGTAGGCCTCCCAAAGGCTGGCTCAGGGTGAGGGTATGCATTCTGGGACCCACCACGTGGTCACTGGTTATTGCTTTTTCTCCCGGGAGGTGCCTGTGTGGTGTGGCTCCATCATGGAAACCTGGCTGTCCACTCACACAGTGGGCATCAGAGCTGGTGCAGTAGGAGCCTAAGTGACCGCGGGGCTTCTTCCTGCTCAGTGAGCCAGGCCCTTCCTCCTGGGATGCCTGCACAAGGGTCAACGTGGAATAGGACGCATGGGAACAGGCTGAGTCCTCCATACACATCCACATGCAAGCAGGCAAGCAGGAGGCAGCCCGCAGCATCTGCTTCTTGGGATCTTGCCCGCCCCGCCCCCTGCCCATGCTGGTGACTGCATGGTTGGGCAAGGACTGCTTGCTGTGACAGGACGTAGGCCACCTCACCTGGGCTGTTAGGAAGGCCAGTGGGTAAGGTTGTAAGGGATGGGGGCCAGAGCGCTTTGGATTATTTGGGTTCCTGCTTGGAGAGAGACTGAGAAGGCAATTGGGGAAGGGGTCTGCTGGACTGTCAGGAGACAGGCAAGCAGCCCATCCTGTCCCTGACTTCCCCACAAGGGACACAGACTCAGGTGTCGGGGAGGACCTTTAATTGTATTCACAGAGGCTGGATGGGGGATTCCATGTTAGAAGCTGGGTATCTAGAGAATGAGGGCTGGGACTAGGGGCAGAGAGTAGGCGGGGGCAGGGCAGGAGGAGGAAGGCCCAGCAAGAGTGTGTTCCACCCACACACCATGTCCCCCATCCAATTTCTCGTGGGACACTCCTCTGTCAGACTCAACAGCAGGGTCACCTCAGGAGTGTCTGAGCTCCACCTCAGACCCAAACTGGGGCCCACGATGGGGCCGGTGGAGGCTGTGGTGTTGGCGGATGCTGAAGAGCCGATGTGTGAGACCCAAGGTGGCCACAAGCAGGGAGACGCCTAGGAAGAGCAGCACCCATTGACCCACACGGGCCTGCTGTGGCTCCAGGTACATGCCCAGGAAGTTGACGCGGCCAGACTCTGGAAAGGGGCCTTCTGAGCGAGCTGAGCGAGGAAGCAAGGAGACAGGGCGGTGGGCAGGGCGACAGAGGGGCTGGGGCCTTCTGTTCTGGCGTCCCTGTCCTAGCTCTGAGATCAGACTGGAGGCTGTCTGGACTGGGAATGGGATTCAGCCCTGTGTGAGCTCTGGGAGCCATGCCTGGGGCTGGAGGTGGGGCAGGTGGTATACCCGTGTTTGGTGTCCAGTTGTATTGTGGCCAGCCCAGTGTCTCTCCATGTCTCCTGTTCTCAGTGATGAGCCATTCCGTCAGTGGCTTGAAGTAGTTCATCATGGCAGAGGCTGACATGTTAGGCTGGCCTGTGATCAGCTTCATGGCTTCTGGCCATGGCTTACTGTAGCCCATCTTCATGGTATCCCTGGGGAAGGCACCGGAGAAAGGGAGACTGAGTAGGAACCGCATTGGTTGGCATTCTTTCTCTATAGCCTCCCTGTCCCAGCATAAACCGCCCTTTGAGATTAGGAGAGCCTGGGTAGGACCGCGGCAGGGATGGGAAGGGAGGCTGCAGGGCTCAGGGCTTTCAGTTTCCCTCTGGTTTTTGCTTTGTTTTGTTTTTGGTTTGTCGAGACAGGGTTTCTCTGTATTGCTTTGGAGCCTGTCCTGGAATTAGCTCTGTAGACCAGGCTGGACTCGAACTCACAGAGATCCACCTGCCTCTGCCTCCCGAGTGTTGGGATTAAAGGCGTGTTTCTCCAACGCCCGGCTCCAGTTTCCCTCAGAAAGCGACACACGTCTTTCTTGGCTGTTCTCAGCCCAAGACACCAAACAAAGTGCTCCTAGCATAGCTTCAGGGGTTTCTCAGGACCAAAGAGTCAAAGAAGGGTTCAAGGACACTCACGCCAGCAGCTTTCCCGCTGCTTTGGATTGGTAGATGTCACACTTGTGCAGGGGACCTGTGTGCCCAGCTGCTCGGCACAGTGCCTCGTGGAACTGGAACTGGATGATAAAACTGACGAAGTACCTGCGGTGGAGAGAGGGAATGGAGCAAGGTGTGGGTCAAATGCCTGGAGCACAGGCAAGGTAAGCGGGGTGTGGGAGGGGGGACTCCCCTCCCCTGCGCCAGTGAGACCAGCTGCAGCCACGGGGGACCCAGGAGAACAGGATGCAGTCAGGATGTCACTCTGGCCTTTGAGGCCATCTGAGCTCTTCCCACACGTGCCTGTATGGATACTTCCCCCCCACAGGCTGCCTACACTCCTGCTCTGCAGCGATCCAAAGAACAGGCATGCGAAGAGGTTAATGAGAGAGCTGTGTGGTTTCCAGCCCTGGGACAGAGGCCAGGGGTTGCGGGGTGGACCGTGGGGATCTGGTAGGGCCTTCTGAGTAGGGAAGCATTGGACCCAGTCTTATGACTGAAAACAGCAGGGGTTTCCTGACAGGAATACACCAGTCCAGGCCTGGGCAACCACAACAACTCTGGCTTTCAAGCGTGAGAAGCAGCGGCACAGTCTCCTCCGTTTGGATCCAGGGCGTGAGCCATGTACCACTTGCTCCCCTGGCCCTTCCCCTGAGCGCTCTGCTCAGGCTGCTGGCCAGAATGTTAGTGTGTTTTTCTAGGGAGCCAGGTCTCCTTTGTTCACTCCTGCCTGGATAACTGTGCTAAGCCAGGCTCCATCTGTCACAGGCTCCATCTGAGGCAGGAGTCAGTGCTGGGACCTGAGAAGGAGATCCAGTAGGTGGTGGTGGCCCCACTGGGGACCCCCCCCCCACCAAAGCTTCTCACTAGGATACTCTCTCAGTCAAGCCTGCTGGGTCCTAGCAACAACTCTTCTTGCCCCTTGCCCCTGGCAGCCTCGGAGTGTCTGAGCAGAGTGTTGTCTTTCTTTCCAGGTCTCAGACTCTGTCCATCCTATGTGCTGACTTTAGTCCTGGTGTCAGGGCCTGCCTCCTTGACTTCCAGAGATAACTAGAGGCAAGAACTGTAAGAAGCCTAGTACTCCTGAGAGGCCTTCTCTGTCCTCTGTGCATGGCAGCAGGAACTCTGTCCTGAGGTCTGCTTGTCACAGCTTCTTCGGAACTCTCTAGATTCCACACCCTGTGTGAGCTCCTCAGAAGAGCATTCGGAAGGAGAGGTGCTGCCTTAGTCACCTCATGCTATAGCTAAATAGTACACAGGCCAGTTCTGATGCAACCCACTAAAGAGAGTGATTCACAATGGAGGATTTACAGCATGCTCTGTACAGACAAGTGGCTAAGTTGTTAGACCTTGCGACCACCCTACGTGTTGAGAATGAGGTCAGAAAATGGATACCCAGAGACAGAGGATGTTGTTCAAACAAAGGACATGAACTCTAACCATCAGCTGGCAACTAACTTGTCCCTAACCACATTGCCTCCTATATAAGCTGGGCCTCTTGTCCGGGGCTTCTGACTACACGGTATTTCAGGTACATCAACATGTATTGTAGGCAGTTTCACCACAAAGGAACCATGTCTCAAAACTAATAGAACCCACGTTAGTATCCAGTCACATGTAACTGTTGTCAGATGTGGGGTAGGATAGGAGAACTGCTGTGAGTTTAATGCTAACCTCAGCTACACAGTTTACTCCAGGCCAGTGTGGGCCACAGAGTAAAACCTGTTTGGAACAAAATTGAAGACTAGGCCTTGTGACCATTTGCCAATCTTCTGATGAAGTTTCTGGTTTTAACGGTTTGGTTGGTATAAGCTCTCACAATGTCCAAGGAATACTTAAAGTGGCTTTGGTAGCAGATGAGTGGACCCAGGCACTGTGTGTCGCGAGCCAGCTCCTGCTGGTGTGATGGGGCAGCTCCAGCAGAGTGTACACTGAAGGAAGTTTAAACATGAACCTAAGGGAACCGCCCTCCATGGTGCCTTCTCCTCCCTTTGCTCTTACCTGATATATGGCACATTTGCAGGAACGTGAAACTTGGACCCTGGGTCAAAGTCATCTTGAGATCTTGGCACTGGAGGACAGAGACCCTGGTACTTCAGCCTGTCAAACGGGAAGATATGTTAGATGGTGAAAACCAAGTTGAGAGAAGGTTGGCATCTTTTAAGCTAAGAATGGCCCCTGCACCAGAATGTCCTCTGCGCCTGCATGCTGTGTTCCTGTGTACAACCACCTCCGGGGGGACCCCAATCACTTGTGCGGGCACACACGCACGTGTGCACACACACACACATACACATAACCTTCACTGGCTTTTTTTACCAACACAAACCCACATGCAGGCACTCTCAGAGATACACTCCAATCCACACCCCCACCAGAGTGTTCTAGAACCTGAAGGTCCACCACTCTTGGTTGTAATTCTCCTTGGTGATGCTTCCATCAAAGACCCTCCAGCGCCACTGGTCAATGAGGTAGCTGAAGGGGATAAAGGCGATCTTGTCGAGGGCCATCTTCATCAGGAAGTTGATGTCATGCTCTGCCAAGGGAAGGGTGTGCAGCTTCAGGTCCACACTGACCTCTTGTCAGGGCTGAGCACCTCAGACCCAGTAAACTTGCTTCTTAGGATGATCTGTGTGTTACCCAGTTAGGTTCACCCTGCTGGGACTTCTTTCCCTTCTAATGGACTATCCCAGATCTTTGCCCAAGGGTATCTACAAAACCTTCCTCTTTCCCCGCCTCCCAAGGATGCCAGCCCACCCAACCAGCACCTCTGCTCCCCTCTCACCGTAGCCACCGCCCTCGCTACTGAGCAGGTTGAGGTTGTGAAGATGTTTGGGGGTAGACACCGACAGAGCCAGCACATCTCCAATAGCTTCATGAAAGCCAGGGTTGGCACCCTCCCGAAAGGTCACAGGCAAGTCTTTGTACTGCATGAAATACTGGATGTGGCCCATTTCATGGTGGGCGATCACCAAGTCCTCCATGTTCACAGAGGTGCACTGCTTGATCCTAGGAACAGGGGTGGGGAGAAATGCGTCAGCAACAAACAAGCAACGGGACCGAGGTGCGTACATCGTAGGAAGCAGACCTTCTCCCGGTGGACATAAGGAACATGGTGTGATGGAAAGGAAAAATCAAATGGTCCTAAGAAAGAAGTAGCCTGGGGGCCAGAAGTCTGTAAAGGTCACTGCAGCCATCCCTCTGCGGCTAACTTTCCTGCATAGCTCCAATCCACACTATTGCTTTCTGACTTGGCCTAGAGGCACAGGGACATCCAATCTGTGCTTTGTAGAACGTGTATCCAGTGCTGACCCATGTATTTGTCTTTCTAGTCCAGGACTGGGGCTTCCTGGGAACACATGGGCTGGGCCACTCCACATCTCATTAAGAAAAAAGATTCACTTGAAGAATGCTTACGGCCAGGGCTGATTGACAGCTGTGGAGCCCTCTAGGCCAGAAAGCTCCTCCTTATGTTGTCCCCTACCCTCTTCTACAAGCCAGTTCCAATGACAGAAATTTCTTCCCAGGATCTAAACAGTCTTTCAGGGCTGGTTCACCTATTTTTGTTTTTCTTGTCGGAGGGGAGAGGGAGGATCTGCCCAACATCCTTGACCCACTGAGGGTGGGGTCTGCCTGCTTGCTTCTCTGATGCATCATAAAAAAAGGGTTCCCAATGGGAATACTCACCTCCAAGACCCTCCATGATCCTGGCCCCTTTGTCAATCTACCTGGGCCTTACAGCTCCAAGCCCTCAAGCCTTTGAAGGACCCAAGGCCAGGCATTGTCTGCCACCCTCCCCCCACATAAACCCTTCGTTTGTTTCCTGGCTTTGTGTCTCCTTTTACATGGGTGCCTCATCTGCTGGGGATGGCATCTCTGCCCCTTTTACTCTCTTTCTTTGAGCCTGGGTTGTCCTTGGGGCCTCTCCAATAGAATGTGGCAGACACGAAGGGTTAAAGATGCCTGTGATCCTAGCACTTGGGCGCCCGAGTGAGGCAGGAGGATCACAAGTTCAAAGTCAGCCTGAGTTATCTGGTGAGATCCTGTCTCAGAGAGGGTCCCTGAGGTAGGACTCTGTGCCGGTTTTACACTTAGCCATTGAGAAGTCTGGCTTCTGCTTTAATATGTCTGCTAGCCTGGGACTGTCACAATAGGAAGGGACCCAAGTTGGCTTGTACCAAAAAGATGCCTGATCACACCAAGCTGCCCCAGGCATCCTAACCAGCTACCCAGTGTGAGAGGCCACCTTGAACTTTCCACTCTAGACACTACTGAGGAACTCCAGCCAATAGCCAAAACTAGGCTCTGGATAAATGGCTCCAGATGAGCCACTGAATTTACCCCAGCTGTGCTGGGGGGGGTGGGGTGGGCATTTAACGGTGACACAATGTTTTTCTAGCAAGGACAAAGGTCTGGGAGTCTCTCCTAGTGCCAATTAATTAGTTAAAATTTTAAGAGTTTATATATTTATGTGGTGTGCACCTGCCATGGTGTGTCTGGTGGCCATTGGTGGGCAACTTTCTTTGAAAGTTCGTTCCCTCTCTCCAGGTAGATTTGGAGGACTGGACTCATGTCATCAGACTTGGTGGCAAGTAATTATATTTGCTGGGACATCTTGGCAGCCCAATTAATTGGGGTTTTTAAATACCGTGACTGATGCCTGTCACTGTGGCGTAAGAACATTTTTGTTGGGCACTGACGGAAGCCCCGCTCAGAGGACCTTGAGGACCAACTGGTCATTTTATGCCACGAGATCTGGGGTAGGCTGTTAGACAGCTGTAGGTAACTAGCTCCATTGATAAGGACTGCCTTGTCTGTCAGTGGTGAGAGTGGGTCTTTCTCACAGTGGTGCACCCATGGGAAGGGCCAGCAGTATAGAGGCTGTGCAGTGTACACAGTTTACCTAAGCATCCCACTAACCACTGACAGAGCTGGCCAGCACTTGTGGCTTAATTTCTAAAATGGTATTTCTCTACTCAGTTCGGTTCCCTTGATTAGGACCAAACCCTCTCCTTGACTCTCAGTCCTCAACTTTATCCCAACTGCTCCCATCAACTTGCTCACTCCAGTTGAGGGACAGCCATCAGAGCCTCGACTTGGCTCACACCCTTGTCCCTGGGATCAGGGTAAGGATCCCAGTTCTAATCAGACAAACCTGAAGTCCTTGCCATTGTAGAAGTCCCAGGCTGAGGCATGGCACACCACATCCCTTCCATCGCTTGGCTTCTCCAACATTGACTTGTTCCAGAATTCAGCTGGTACAGGTAACAGCCCCAGGGAGGTAAAGAAATCATCAGCTTCCTTAAATATTCTTCTGGGCGTCCATCCCTGAAAGTAGAGAGTTCTTTGTAAACTGGGGTCTTTGATTGACAGACATAATCATGGCAGGAGAGAGACTGTGAGAGGGCCACACTGGAGGGAGAGGGTTTCTGCCCTCCCGTCTGGGGCCTGCCTTCTCTTGTTCCTTCGGGAGGCCCACGGGGAACAGTCTTGGCTTCACTGACCTGCTTTATCATGGCCTCCGTGGCATCCAGGTTGGGGGCAGAAGGAAAGGGAGCCACCAAGTCATAGATATTGGACCAGGTCTGTGCCCACATGTTCCCTGGAGGCAGGTGGGGAAAAGATGGCAGAGAGGAAACATAACTTTTTAGGCTCAGAGAGATCCTGTAGGGAAAGATAGGTAGATCCCAATCCTGTCAATCAGGGCGGTATCTCTTGAGCATCAACTGTTTGCAAACTGTGCTGGGTATTTGATATGCATTGTCTCTCCTACCTGTATACCCAGCCCACAGGATCATTTCCAATATGGGTTACAGATAAGAACCTTGCTGGTCATTAGGAACCACGGTAGTCTTTAGTGCCCATGAGCAGTGAAGGAATTCTCCACAAGAGACGTCCTTGGAGCATCTACACCCACATGGGCACCACTTCCTAAGTGACACCCCAAACACACATGTAGTAACTTGTTATCCTGCCCGCTCCCTGGCACGGTGTAGCAGAGGAACTTGTGTCTGGAGAGAGTTAAGTAATCCAAACAGGGGCTTAAACTCCTAAGCGATGAGGTTGGATTTAAATGCCATCAGGCCTCACTCTTGACCTTTACAGTGTATAGTAGCATAATGAATGTCACTAGTCACTCTGTCCATTTAGAGAGGCAGTTAGTTAAGAGCCTAGTTCTCCGGGACTGGAGAGAAGGGATACATTCAGGATGAGTGGAAGGTGCAAAACTCCATGGAGAGGCAGGGTCTTTCATAGCTGAGGCAGAATGTCCCCAGTAGGGACAGAAAAATGGTAGTCTCTAGTCCCCTCCCCCATTCTTTCCATTCTCTTCCAGTCTTCCTCTCCCTCCTTCATGCACTCAAGGCTACTTGAATACTCAAAGCCCTGGAAGAATAATGGTCCAGAGGTTGAGCTTCCCTATCACACCTTGACCTAGACCCAGACCCGTGTCTTCTCTCCCTGCATCCCCATCCCTGACTTTGCATCTGTCAACGTCTCACATCTTTCAAGGTTCATATGGAATTTCCTCCGACCCCACACCCAGATTTCTGGATCTCGCTGTCTTAAGGCATGATGGGTAATGTGGTCTGACCCTTAAAAGTTGGTAAATGCTTGTATGACATGGCTCTGTGGCAAACGCAGCACCAGAAGAGCTGGTTGCCTGACACATACAAGACCCTGAGTTCAATCCTCAGGATCACGACATAAGAATATGTGGTAGCTAAATATGAGCAGGAAGTTCCCCCAGCCCCACTCCACTCCAACCTTGGCTGTGCTCCCACAAGGATTCAAGTCCCATCACTCTTCTGGCCCGCTCCCTGCCCCCTGGCCAGCACTGTCCTGTCCCTTACTATTGTTCCTTGTCTCCACCTCCTTGAAGTTGGACCAATGTCCTTACCCAGCAAGTGGGCGGGAATGGGACCATCCAGGTTGATGTGCTGAGACCCATAATGGCGATGCAGGGAACGGCGCACGTAGGCATGTAGGTTCAGGTAGAGTGGTTGTATCTCTTGGTATAGTTGTTCCAGGTCTTGCTCCAAGTTTTTAGACTCATATGATGATCTCCATGAGTCCCCTCCATCAGCGTAGCCTGCACAGGACACACAGCTAAACTTTCCTAGCAGCTATCATTCACTCAATGTACATACCCCTGACGCCTCTCGGGCACTTCCTGTCCCCAGCCAAAGGATGTCAAGAGAACCTCTTTGAGGAGGCTGAGGGACCTGGGGTGCAGACAGTCAGTGGGACCAGCACTGGGAACTCACCGTTGAGGTGGGCAATCTTGTTGGAGAGCTCCACATACTTTGGGAAAAGGGGGAGAATGGCTCTCCCCACCTTATCTCTCCAGCTCTTCCATACCCACAACAGTTCTTCGTAATTCCGGGACGTGGCCATCACGTTTGTCAGGTCTGGAAGGGAGGAGTTGAATGGCTTGAGCCTCCTATCTGTTTGTAAGTGGGACTCGCTCATGGAGTTTCAAAGTTGGAGTAAAGCTGGTAAGATCATTTGGAAATGACAGTATAGGCAGTAAGTCTAGTGAGAGGAGAGAGATAGGGAGACAGTGGCCACTAGGAGCTCCTAGGGTGTCTGCCTGGGGCGACATGCTGTACATACATGACCTCAGACACTTGCAGGTGTTCGGCAACTTTGAAAGGGATATCCCTTGTTCCTGTCTTAAGAGTAGCTTAATGACATGCTTGTGTACCCACGCAGGAGGTAGCCAGGCTGGAGCAGAAACAAAATGCTCTCCTGTGACTTTCCCTTCCCTGGGAGAAATGGTTTGGGAAGTTTCACAGGCCTGAATTCAAGTTCTGTCCCTCCCATGTTACCCTGGGCAGGCCTCTTTCTACATAAACAAGGGAGTAGCCCTGGCTTTCCCAGGGACTTGGAAATGGAATGAGAGTTCTGTCCCCAAGCAGGGGCTATGGCCCTGGGGACCCACAACATCCTTTGCAAGTTGTTACTGGGCTCACAGGAATAACAATAGCTGTAAGAACTGTGCATGTCCAAGAACTATCTGAGCTGCCCCCCCAGCAAGGTGGACTCTGGGTGCACGCCTTTAGTCCCAGCATTCAGTGGGCAGAGGCAGGCAGATTGCAGTGAGTTAGAGGCCAGCCTGTTTACAGAGCAAGTTCCAGGATAGCCAGGACTACACAGAAAAACCCTGTCTTGAAAAACCAAACCGAACCAAAAAAAAAAAAAAAAAAAAAAAAAAAAAAATAAAGAAATAAAAAAAAAAAAGAAAGAAAGCCATTCTGCATGAGACACCCACTAAGAATTTAAAACTGACATCCACCTCTCAGGTCAGGTAAGGGCCACACAAGACCACAGGCATCAGTCTTGAAACAGATGGTTTTTCCTCCTGCCCTGCCTTTGGCTTAGATAGAGGAGCTGTTAAATTTGGGCTCTATTGTGGAACATTCTGTGTCATATGCACTTGTCACAAAAAAAGGTAAACTTAATTAGCTTTCTTTGAAAGATGATTTGTTTTCAGAATTCTGTGTCTGTTTTCTGATGATGAAAGTCATTGGTTTTCATGGCCTTTTTATTTTAATTACCATATCTATGACCAGAAAGCCTAGTCCTGGATCAAAGGGCTGTATGGTGGGGATGCCAAACACTATTCATTTTTTTTTTAAATCCATATTTAGAAATATACACCCAGACATGCTCACATGCTCTCTCTCTCTCTCTCTACACACACACACACACACACACACACACACGTTCCCTCTCCCTCTTTGCGTGTATATCCATACCCACACCTATAGGCCAGCCCCTGCCCTGGAACTGTTTCTTGTTTCTGTTTATTTTCCCATTTCCCCTTCTATTTGTCATTGTTCTGACATGGGAGCTGGGCTGGGGCCAGGAAGAAACAACTTCTGGTAAAGATTCCTCACAAAGAATGTTTATGACTCTAGCTCACCAACCCTGGAAGGAGACACGAGTGTGGGCCCTGGGGGAGGGGGACAGAGGGGACCCTTTCAAAGGGGACAGGCTGAAGAGAAATAAGCAGCAGGAGGTGGTTATGAGTCAGTTCATGGCTGTCTGGTGGAAAGGTGCTGTGGAGGAGGGGATGGAGTGGGAATGCTATCAGCTGGGAACAGGAAGCAAGGTCTAGTTAGTGATTCTAGGGCGATGGGACTCTTGTGTGGTGTAACCTCTCTGGCCCCAGCTTCTTTTTCAGCAATGTCCCAGTGGTGGTGGTGGTGGCGGTGGGGCATGTCTCAAGGAAGCTACAGAAGGTAGAGACACGGACTAGAAGGTCTGTGGCCTTTGGAACACATGTTTGGGATTCTACTGCTCTGAGGGATGTTTGGAAGGGAAAAGGAGTTGGAGAGTTCTGGGCAGGTGGGGTGGCTCTAGAGGGGCAGAGAATAGGGAATTTGTTGATGAGGTTCTAGTCATGGAAGCCCTTGACAGCATCCTCAGCTCTTCCCCCACCTCTCTTTTTCAGGGCTGCCCTCACCAGGTTCCAAATGCAGACAAGTGCCATTTGTGTAGCAAACGTTGGTTATGCTGTAAGTCGTCTCCATCTCCACCAGGATCTGGTTGTACTGCAAAGGGGAGAAAAGAACAGTGAATTACCCCTCCTTCTATTTTGCTCTGGCCCCAGGCATCATGGGTGGGAACCAAGGGAGCATGTGCCCCAAAGTGTTGCAGTCCTGGGAATTCTGGAGACATGTGGACATGGCTTATGTCAAGACTTGACAAATCAAGGGCGTAGCAAGGAACCAGGCCATGATTTGGTTCACTCCCCAGCAGTTTCCACCCCCTGCTCCCCAGGGCTATGCACCTCTTCTAGCTCCTTAGGAGGCAGCACTGCCCGGTCCATGTTCTGAACCTTCTTTATGATCCTTTTGATGGTAGCGTTCTGGAAGTTGCTCACATCAAACTTCTGGGCCAAAGTGCCATATTTCAGAGTGTGGTTGGCCACCTTCTTGTTTTTCTGAAGCTGAGGGCACAAGGGGTTGTTGTCACAGGCTCAGGAGATTTGGCATGGCCTCTGTGTAGGAGGTTCCATAACGGTAGTGGTAAGGAGTGTGGTTTGATTTAGACCAGTACCTTTGCCCATACAAATACCTTCCTCTTCAACCTGGGCCATCTGTTAATGTATTGGGTACAGTATGTATGTGCTCCTCAACAGATAACTGCAGTCTAGCAATATACGTCCTGATAGAGTAAGGAAAGAGAGCTCAGCATGCCTAAATGTCATTAGACGGAAGCCGAGTGCTATTAGTTAGGAGCTCTCCCCACCCTGCCCTGAGTACTCAGGGGTTGCATCTTTGAAATAGGAAGAGCATCTCTGCTTGTGCATAACTGCCAAAGGGTGTATGTAGGACGAGAAGCTGAGGTACTAAGGACCCATGGGCAGCACACAGTGGGTCTTCAAGCAACATTAGCACCCTATGCACTAGGGTTATAGCACGTGGTCAGAACTGGCTTCCTGTGGTATAATGTATACTCTGCTATAAAAGAAGGGACAGGGTGCAGGGGAAGGACCCCTCACAGTGCTGACACACAGGCTGCCAGTCTTCTAAAGAGGGATGCTGCCGCCATTTATATATGCACAACGAGTTACAGTCTCTGAGAATGGCAACTAAGAATGTTTTCAGACTAGAGAAATTTGCTCTGCTCAGGTGTAGCTCCAAGCCCACTAAATCTGAGATGGAGTGTTGTTTTAAATATTCCGTTCAGGCTTTTCAGCAATTTTGGCGGCTCGGTGCTTTGTGTGTGTGTGTGTGTGTGTGTGTGTGTGTGTGTGTGTGTGTGTGTGTGCACGCGCGCGCGCGCGCGTGTGTGCGTGTGCGGTGTCTCTCTGTGTCTGTGTTGTGTTGTGCACATGCTACATGTTGGAGTTGACGGAAGTGGCTCCTACCAGGATCTTGCTGGTCTCTAGGGTAATGTTGGTGTTATATTGCCAGTTGGCCTCTGCGTACTCGTTCCACAACACCTGGGCTGTCCGGTCATACTCCTCCACGAACCTCTCAGCCTCAGCTTCATCCGTCACTAGGTCTGCGGGAGGTGAGGAGGAAAACAGACAGGCCTTGCCTTCCTTACCACAAGGTGTGGTCTCACTGGAGCTCCCTGCTGTTGTTCCCTGGCTCCTTGCCCCCTCACGTCCCTGCCCCTTTCCAGGGGTCCCACTGGGGTTCTGGGCTGTCGGGATGACTGTTGCTTGGTGAGTTGTTGTCTGGCTTCTGGTTGTTGCCTGGTTTGTTATCCCCTGGTTGGTTGTCACGTGGTCAGCGGCCACCTGACCAAGGACCAGCAAGGGGTGCGCAAAGCAGAGCAGCAGAAAGAGGAGGCTGGGCAGTCCTGGGGTAGCCCGACCTTGGCCCATGGCCGCAGGAGAGCAGAGCCCTGCAGCCCCCACCACTGGCCAATAAGAGCCGAGTCTGCAGTGTGACCTCATAGAGCAATGTGCCAGCAAGACTGACCCCAGGGGCCCTCAGGCTTGGACACACTGTCTCTAGGATGCTGGGAGAAAGATAGGCCCATCTTTGCTGTAGATTCCTGATGATGAGCCCAGGGGTGGGTCGGGACTGTAGCAAACGACACCAGGGCTCAGCTGGAAGGAGCTGACCAGGAACCCGAGGCTTGGGCCCAGAGGCCAGAGGCCAGGACTTCTTTTGGTCCCAGCCCACCCTCATTTAGGGCGTTACCAATGCCTTCTGGATAGTTGTCAGGTAACGATGGGCGCCATTGATACTCTGGCCAGCCTAGGACTTCGCCATTCCGTTCATTCTGCTCCTGCAGCCACTGGCTGACTGGTTGGAAGTACTCTAGCAATGCCTGGGCATCCAGGGTTTCTGAGCCTACCATCTCCTTCAGCACCTCCTGCCAGGGCCTGGAGCGGCCAGCCTGCAGTACCCGCCTGCCAAGCAGAGTGAGCAATGGGTACAGGGGAAACAGGTTGGGGTCCACAACAGTGCTACTGCCCATCTGTCCTTCATTAGGAAGAGAACTCCAGGGGTAGGGGCTCTAAGAGCAGTAGGGGACATTTGCCTGGCCCCATGGCAGGTGAAGGCAAGCTCAATAAACATTTGATATGAGAGAGAGAAAGGGGAAGGAGGCAGGAAGAGGAGGAGGAGGGTGGGGGACAGAACATCAGCTACCTGTAGAAACACCCTTCCCCAGCCTCCCCTCTAAGCCTCCCAATCCTTTCCCCCCTTCCTGTCACATACCGGAGCTTGTCCCCAGCCTGGGTAGACTGATAGATGTCACATTGGTGTAGTGGGCCCTGGTGTCCTGCCTCCTTGCACAGTGCTTGATGGAATTGGAACTGTAGAATGAAGCTCACAAAATACCTGCAGGGACAGAGCAGGTGTTAGGAGGGATCGTGGAGACCTAGACAAAAGCCCCTTGTTTAGGCACTATGCCGTGTTCTGCAGGGCCACAGCTAGCTTAAGGGCTAGCAGTAAGAAGGAAAAAGAAAATCGAGCGTAGCCCGGAAGGAAGGACCATTCTAATTCTCAGCCCTTGGGCCTGAAGGATGATGGAGCAGGGAGGAAACACTGAGCTCCGGTACCTGATGTACGGTGTCCCATTTGGGATATGAAACTTGGCTCCAGCGTCAAACTGTGTTTCATTCCGGACAACTGGAGGACAGATCCCCTGATACTTGGTTCTAGAAGGGGATATTTAAAATCTTAAGGCCCCGGGGACACACAGGCTGCCTGAGGTTTGAGGGAAAGGTACTGGTTCCACCCCTCCCCCAGCATTCCTTCCACATCCTGGAAAATGGGGGACACTTCCCGGAGGTGAGGTTTCAGCAGGAAGGGAGGGGGCAGAGGGTAGGGAGGCAGACATTGTTAGAAAGGAGGGAGCTGAGACTGGTGGAGGCAGGGGACCCCCTGGGTCAGGCTTTTCCTATCTCTTTTCTCACCTAAGATACCACCAATCGAAATTGTAGCGGGAGGGTGGGGTATGACCACTAAAGACCCCCCAGCGCCACTGGTCCACCAGGTAGCCAAAGGGCAGGAAGGCAATTTTCTCTAGGGCCATCTTTAGCAAGTAATTGATGTCGCTTTCTGTTCAGGAACACGGGGAGAGAGAGAGAGAGAGAAGGGGGAGGGAAGAGATCAGCTAGGGCAGAGTAGGTCTGGGGGAGGGGGAGGGGGAGGGGGAGGGGGAGGGCGGTCCAGCAGGAGGTGAGGCTGGGCAGACAGAGGGGTCCCCAGTCCTTAGTTCTGCGTGGACAAAGACTCTGGATGTGTGCTAAACTCAGGGTGTATCTGGGGCCTCAAATAAAAAATGTCAAGATGAGCTGAGTGGTGGTGGCGCACGCCTTTAATCCCAGCACTGGGGAGGCAGAGGCAGGCGGATCTCTGTGAGTTTGAGGCCAGCCTGGTCTACAGAGTGAGTTCCAGGACAGGCTCCAAAACAATACAGAGAAACCCTGTTGAGAGAGAGAGAGAGAGAAGAGAGAGAGAGAAGGCAGGGCAGACAGCATGAGTCGGGGTCTTTACCCTCTCCGCCTCATACCTATGTCATTGGTAACATGGTCCAGCAGGCCGATTTTGTGCAGATGTGCAGGAGTAGAGACAGAGAGTGCGAGCACGTCCCCGATGGCCTCATGGAAGCCAGGGTTGGCACCTCTACGCAGGGGGACAGTCAGGTCCTTGTACTGTAGGTAGTACTGCACGTGGCCCATCTCATGGTGCACTGTGGACAGCTGCTCCATTGTCACCCGTGTGCACTGCTTGATCCTGGAGCGCGGATGGGATGAGTGGGGATGAGGGTGAAGGAGCACTGGGGAGGCCGAGACCAGAGGACCATAGGGCCAAGGAGGACTCTGTTCTGGGAGAAGTGTTTAGGAACTAGCAACCCTTTGACCCTACCCTGGCCTACCATCACTCAGGCCCTCCCCCCGTGCCAAGGCACCCAGCTGATTGCTCCTCAGAATTGCAAGGATGGTGAGCTAATGGGATGGCATGCCCTACAGCCCTGGGGTGGAGCAGTCCTCCAGTCCAGAGGCAGGACTGAATCGCCGCCACCGCCTCCTTGGAGCCCCACACTCTTCCCAGGTCCTAGACCTGAAGTCCTTCCTGTTGAAGAAGTCCCAGGCTGAGGCGTGGCACACCACCTCCCGCCCATCAGTTGGCTTCTCCAGCATCGACTCTGCCCAGAACTCAGGAGGCATTGGTGAGAGCCCCAGCGAGGTGAAGAATTCCTCTGCTACCCGGAACATATGTGTGGCATTCCAGCCCTGGCCAAGGGGTAGGGAAATAGGTCAGAAGCCAGCCACGTGCAAGTGACTGCCTTGAGGGCAGGGCTTGGTGGTCTCCACCCAGGAAGAATATCTGAGGCTTAATGGCCTCGGTCCCCAGAGGAAGGGCACTACTGACCACAGAAGATCACTGTGCCACCAAGGACAAGACCCTTAGGTCACTGTTGATTGTAGCAGGAAAGGGGAGAAGCCCCATCGTATCACATGGCCCTTCCTACCCTGTCCCCACCTCACTGTCTACCTGACCCCAGAGCTTACCTTCTGTACCATTGTATTGGTGACATCGAGGTTAGGTTTGTTTGGGAAAGGAACTACCATGTCGTAGATGTTGTCCCAGCTCTGGGCCCACATGTCTCCTAAATGGAGGAAGTGAGAGGGGTGGCTTGGACTCCTGCCCAGCCATGCCAGTTTCCCATATATGCTACCCTGGATTGGTGCCAGCTCCCCTGCTTCTCTGGGCTCTCCGCAGGACTGGTTACTGGCTACTGCCTCTGTCCTTGAACCTGTAGCCAAAGTCATTGGCTTGACCCCCAGCTCTGCTCCATCCTAGCTCTCGGTTGGCTCTAAGTTCCTGCCTACCCTAAGCCTCAGTGTCCCTACCTATAAAGCAGGATTTCAGGCTGTTGGGGACATTGAGTCATGGGGCTTCTGCATAAGGAAACACAGGTCATGGCATTCCACACATTGGAGGCGCCATGGGGATGAACCATCTTCTCTCTGCTGGGCATCCTCCTGTACCCAGTCTCCTCTGGGCAGCAAGATCTAGGTCCTTACCTAGCAGATGAGCAGGAATGGGCCCCCTGAGGTTGATATATTTGTCCCCATAGCGCCGATGCAGCGCACGGCGGACATAGGCATGGAGGTTCAGGTAGAGGGGCTCTAGCTGGAGGTAAAGGGGTCCCAGAGTCTCTTCAAAGGAGGGGGAGTCATATGCAGAGCGCCAGTAGGCTCCTGTGTCTGAAAAGCCTAACAAATTGGGAGAGCACAGGTCAGGTTCAAGGCTTTGGCCCACCACACCCTAGTTTTAACTCAATCACCTTCCCGACTCCGAGCATTGGCTTGAGATTGTTGCTCAAATTGGCCTGGAACTCCAGATCCTCCTGCCTCAGTCTCTTGAGTTTTGGGATTAGAGTTGTATGCCACACCCTCCCCCACCCCTTTTCTTCAGGCAGGGCCTCACGGTGTAGCCCAGACAGGCTTCAGACGCCTCATCTCTTACTCCAGCCTTTCAAGTACTGAGATTACGAACATGGGTCACCAAAATCAAGGTCTATAATTTCTAACTATAGGCTACTCTAATCTCCAGCAAAATAAGTCCCCTAAGCACGAAAATGTAGTGTCTTAGGGCTGGGAGCAGTACCACAAACGGTACCAGGGACAGCAGTAAAAGGGACAGGACAGCAAGGGACACTGGCTGGAGGCTTCATGCTACTCTCACTAGCTCTTGAGACCTTGGGTGGGCCGTGACACCACCCTGCCGGCTGCTTTGTCTAGCTCAGGGACTGGAGGCTCTGGGGACAGCAGGCAAGAGTGTCTTGTGAGCTAGAAAAGGCTGCTGTCCACAGAGAGGAAGACGCAAGCTCACCATCTTGTTTATAGGCTTCGTTGCTGAGGGCGGTAAAGTCTTGATAGAGGGGTTTCAGTGGGATGCCCACAACATCATGCCAGCTCTCCCAGGCGAACAGCAGCTTGGCATAGCTTCGTGAGGAAGCCAGGATGTTGGTGAGCTCTGAGACAGGTGAGCAGGGTCAGTTAGGAAACGTCTGTGTGCCAGTCTCTAACAGTGGTCTTCACTATTCCCACCAGCTTCTTCAGGATCATAGTAACCCCAGACCAAGGGCAGCCTGTGAGCTTGCTGGGGCAAGGCTATCAAAGAAAGCATCGGGCAGGACCCTGCACCCAGGAGAATGTCTAAGGTTGTCGGTACACAAAGGACATTTGAGGTTAGAACAGTCAGACCCTCCACGGTTCATTGCATAGAATGACTGACCTTGTGAATCCCCAAGTGACCCAGGCTGGAGAGAGGCTTTTGGACAAAGTGAGAGGACCCATTAAAAGGAGAGCTGGGTGGCCAGAAGGGAGCTTAGTGCTGGAGGGGTGAAGCTGGAGGGTCCCTTAATTGAGTCTGCCGGCAGTGTAGGGCAGGAGTATGGGTGCATCTGCTTATTCTCGTCCCACGGTCACCCAGAAGGACTAGGAAACCCCAGCAGAGATGGGACAGGCCCGTCCATACCTGGCTCCAGGGACCAGCAGGTGGCAGTCTTGTTGGGGAAGCAGACCTTGCTGGTGGAGTAGATTCTACTCATGTTGTTTAGCAGGGAGTTGTACTGCCAATTTGGGGTTGAGGAACTTTTATTAGTGAGCAGACATCGGCTCCTGGAGTTAATCTGCTACCCCACCCCACACCCTTCGGCTGAGAGGAAAAGGTGGTCTGGAGAGGGGATGTGACTCAGACAAGGTCACTCAGCAATACTCCACTCTTCCCATTGCCGCTATACTGATGTCCCTTCCAGTGGGGGCAGCTCTTGCAGGTGGACTTGAGCAGAGATCCAGGGATCTGAGACAAGTGACAGCCTGGTACCAGCCCACAGTGAGGGCGAAGAATCCCTGCTATCCTCCGGCCTTCCTGCGGTCTGTCTTGCCAACCTTACCACATCTCCTTAGAGAGAAATTTACTGCTGGCTTTGCCTGGCTTTGCGTGTGTGTGTGTGTGTGTGTGTGTGTGTGTGTGTGTGTGTGTGTGAGAGAGAGAGAGAGAGAGAGAGAGAAGAGAGAGAGAGAGAGAGAGAGAGACAGAGAAGGAGAGAGAGAGAGCACATCTCTTTGCATGTAATTCTGGGTATAAAACACAGGGCCCCATACATGCTAGTCTCAAAGTCTTGTAATTCAGCTACTTTCCAAATCATGAATTTGATCTTCTATTCCATAATATACATATTTAAAAAAAACCCGTCACATCACCCATCTAGAGGGGAAGAAAACCTGTGGTCCTGGCAGCTCTGTTTCCCCCAGATTCCTTACAGCCAAGGTCCATACAGACTGTAGGTCCCTTCCTGTCTGCCAGGCTGCTCTCCAATCACAGTAGGGTGCTTGGGGCACTCTGGTTCTGTTTCTACCCTCAGGCCCACCTGCTGTCGCTGGGCCAGGGGCAGGTTGGCAGGTCCTAGGGTTCGTATAGTTTCAATGACCCTTCGCAGCTTTGAGTCAGTGAAGTTCTGCCAGATGGGGTCAAACAGCTCCTTGGCCTTCTTGCCCCAGACCTCGTCAAACTCCTGCCCGATGAGTTCTGCTTCCTCCTGTGGTCACCAGGAGGGTGGAAAAACGTGGTCTAGCTCAGACAGAGGGCGTGTAGGAGAGGCCACAGTAGGAGAGGGCCTAGGAAGGCGAAGGGCTTCCAGACCCCTTGGTTCTGCAGAGATTCTGTCCCGGAGGTGAACTTGCAGCAGCAACACCTCCCGAGCCCTCAGGTTGGGAACTGTGGGAATCTGACTCGAGGGAACAATGAAGGAGAAAACTGGGGCCAGGATAAGAGGACAGAGAGCAGAGGACCAGGAAAGGAAGCTCTACAGGAAGTCTGGCAGTTGCCAGAAAGCAAGGGCTCTCAGGCACAGCAGCCCTGGACGCCTGAGCGCCGGGAGGCTTTGGCCTTGGAGGAGCCAGCTTCATCCATTCCATTCCTATGTTGGCACAGATCACGTGCCCAACACTTACTGGAGCATCACCGCCTGCCTGATAGCAGAGCTGGTGGGACAGTCTGGCTGGTGGCAGGGGTCCTGCTAGGGAACCTCACTGGGGGTGGGGGTGAGGGTGAGGCTGGGGGCCCCAGGAGCCTGCTGCCCGCCCCGGGCGGCTGACCGCAGGCCTGTGATTGGTCACTGCGCCCTGCCGTGCCCCGCCCCCGCCTGGGCCCGAGCGCCCACCTGGAGCCGCGCATTCTCCTGGGTGATGTTGGTGTAGTACGCCCAGCTGGCTGCGGTGCTCTGGAACATCACCTGCTCGGCACTCGAATTGTATCTCTCGGCGAAGAGATGCGCCCCTATCTCGTCCACGGAAAAGTTGCCCGGCTGTAATCCAGGGTCGAGCGCCGGAGCGGGCGAAGGCAGCAGCAGTAGCAGCAGGAAAGACAGCCACCGCAGCAAGAGAGGCGACGGCGGCCCCTGCCCTTGCTGGCCGGACGCGGCCCCCATAGCGCGGTGCGCACCGTGCGGCGCTGCCCCTTCTCCCGCGCCGCGACCGCCCTGCGGATTATAAAACCCAGCCACCGCCGCCTCCCGACACACCCCCACCTCCCCGCCCCTCCGGGCTTCCTCCTCGGCTCCAAAGTCCCCGGCGGCGCGGGCCCAGCTGAGCGGGGCGGGGGAGAGAGATTCCCAGCTCGCCTTGGGCAGGGGCGCCCAGGCCTGGAGGGGCCGGGCAGTAGCCTAGGTGGAGAGATGGTGCTAGGTCGGGCTCTTGCAGAAGAAGCTAGAAAGGGGTCCCTGGTCCCTGCAGCCGCCCAGCCGTGCCTACTGGCTGCCACCACATATTCTCAGGCCATAGAGCCCAGCAGTTTCTGACTTCTCAAGGCTTCCTGGCATAACCCTCCAAGCCTTTCCGGGCTCTTGAGTGACAAAGGGGCGGAGATGGTTGGCTGGTGCCTGGGTGCCTGACAGGCGCCTTAGGTGGGCGCTGCTGATGTCAGTAGCCAGGTCACCTTGGGCTGGGGGTGAGGGACGCTCCGAAATAGCAGAGGAACGGAGGGTCTGTTTTCTTCTACAAGGGGGAACCATAGAGTGGGCCCAAGCGCTGGCTCTCCTGCCCCTACCCCTTGGCTACACAGCTGACAGCTGTTCAGCTCACAAGAACCATCACGCATTGTCCCAAAAGAGCCCTAGAACCCCACAGTTGCACGATTTGAGAGCTACAAAATGCCTTAGAGATGAGAGCACCCCCTGCTTTTTAAAAATGGAGAAATTACCACTGAGACAGATTGGCTTCAAGTCACCTCAGGTCTCCACACTCCCTCCCTCCCGTCTCCTCCACCTGTTCCTCAAAGTGACGAGCATGGAGGAGGCAGGATCTTGTGCTCTTGAGGCTTTGGAGGCTTTGGAGGCTAACCCCTCAGCACCAGGGCTGTTCTCCCAAAGAGGTGGGAGGACCCTTGTCCTTAGCAAAAGGGGAGATGTTGTCCATGCACGAAACTGTGTGACCTGGAGACTCAGTGGGATCGTGCTGGCCTGTCAGGTGACATGCTAGAGGAGAGGTCCCACAGGAGTGACAGAGATGGAGACGCTAGCCAAGGGCCACCTGGTGAGAACTGTATTTTCCACCAGCGAGCTGCTGTCTTGTGGGAGGAAGCAGCCGGAACTGGTAGACTCTGAGGGTGGTCCCCACGGAGGTCAGAAGCGCAGGGGTGGGGGTGGGCACAGGTGAGAGCCTGGGGCTTAGCCGGTACTCAGCTCTTCTGTCTTTTCTGTCAGAAATGGGACTGAAAGCAAGAAGGAGAGAGGGTGGGGCTGGAGGGTTAACTTGTCTCTGAAGAGTTCCTGGGGCCAGGAGAGAGGCAGTTCCTTCTGGCTCATTCTCAGGCCCAGCTGTGTGGCAGTGTGACACTGTCTATACTCCTGGGTTAGGGACTAAGTTCAGGAATGAAGGTTCTCGCCTTACAGAAAGATGATAAAATCAAAGGCCGATTACTGTTATCTTGTTCCCTGATACCAGGGATAGCTGGAGCCCTCACCCTCTCCCTCCCTCCCTCCAGGTGACACTGTAAGAGCTTGTGGAAACAGTTTGCTGTACTTGCCAGGAGGGTAGAGCCATGGTCAGTCTGCCTTGTTCTCCGTGGTTTTTCCAGAACACAGCACACACCTGTCTCACAGGAGGAGGAGGAGGCATGGAGATGTGCAGAAGGAATGGTCAGTGCTCATTCTCCACAGGGAAACTCCAGTGCCTGCAAGAGTTATCTATGAAGAGCCAAACCTCACCAATTCGGAATTTACAGTAATACAGACACTGCAACCTTGATATTCTGATAAGCAAAAGTTAAAAATAACTTTCTATTTTTAGGGTCTTACGAGGGAGAGAGAAAATAAGAAAGCTGTACCTATGTCTGTATGGCATGCTGGGTGTTTCTATACCCTTATGTGCGAGTGGTGTAACTGGCCAGTTATGATAACCTTGAGTAGGGTAGGGTAGGGAAATGGTAAGGTTCTCCACTCTCAGCCGCCTCCCCAGCTGCCACCGAGACTGTGGAGGCGGCCCCCAATCCTGCAGAAGATTACTTAGGGTGAGGCTGGAGAGGAGCTGCAAAGACCCACCGGCAGAAATGCAGCCTGCTTGTTTAGCCAACCACTCATGTTTTACATTCTTTTCAGTTCCTAGTAACCATAGGAGAGGACAAATAGCCCCTAAAAATATGATCGACAAACTCAGGCATTGTCGACACACTTCTGAAATCCCTGCACTTGGGAAATGGAGGCAGGAGAATCAAAAGTTAGAAGTCAGCCTGGGTTACCTGAGTTCCAGGTGCATCCTACACTATACAGGTAGACCCTTCTTCAAAAACAAACAAAAGTTAACGTGACAAAATCATCAGTAGAGTGGCTGGAGAGATGGCTCAGTGCATTCCCAGTACACACATTGGTGGCTCCCAGCTTCTGGGGTCTGATCTGACGCCCTCTTCTGTCCTCTGTAGGCACTGCATGCATGTGGTGAACACACATACAAACTCATACACACTAAATAGAATTGGGAGCTCAGGCTGGGCATTGGTGGCGCACGCCTTTAATCCCAGCATTTGGGAGGCAGAGGCAGGTGGATCTCTGAGTTTGAGGTCAGCCTGGTCTACAGTGTGAGTTCCAGGACAGCCAGGGCTACACAGAGAAACCCAGTCTTGAAAAACAAAAACAAAACAAAAAAGAACCTCAGAAACAAACCCTTATATTTATTTCTATTGCTTTTGTTGTCATTGTTTTGCAAAATAACCCCATAGGCCATTTTAATGTCATTTGAGGGAGGTGCAAGGTAATATCGCCAACCAACTCTGGTTATCAGTTTGCTCCTTATAGAAAAGACTATATTATTTTACAACACTGGTTAGCCTTTGAGTTTTCAGTAAGGCACAGTTCAAACTAACAGCAGTACTGCTGCCTCTGACCGCTGGGGTAACAGGTGTGTACAAACTACTACAGCTTTCAGTTGATTTGCATGTGGCGTATGTAGATGTACCTGATAGTGTGTGTGCCATGCACATAGAGGCCTGGGGTCCACACCTGCCATCTTAATTGCTCGGTACCTTATATTTTGAGACAGGGTCTCTCACTGAACCTAACACTTGATGATTTGGCTGGATTGGCTGGCCGGCAGGCCCCAGGAGTCTTCCTGTCTCTGCCTTCCCAGCTCCAGGCTTCTGCTGCTATGCCTGCTTTTCCCCATAGGTGCTGGGATCCAAACTCAGGTCCTCTTGCCTACATGGCAAAGCCATCTCCCAGGCCCCTCAATTGATTTTTTTGAGGAGGATGCCAGGATAATTAAATACAAGGGGGGGGTCTAAGACAGATGGATTGTGAGCTTGAGGCCAACTTCAAGCTGGAATGCACAAGAGCAGTAAAGATAGACATTAATGTTAGCAAGAATATGGAGAAATTAGAAAATTAGAATCCTTACATGTTGTTGGAAATACAGTAAAATGGGGTGGAGAAACACACACACACACACACACACACACACACACACACAGAGAGAGAGAGAGAGAGAGAGAGAGAGAGAGAGAGAGAGAACAAAGAATTGAAAACTGCCCATACAAAAATTTTGCAGAAATGTTAATGGTAATATATTATATTCATAGCACCAAAACATTGGGAACTTCCAATGTCAGCCAATTGATGAAGGGCTAAACACAATGTATTCACACAACACAGTATTTATTCCTTCAAGAAAGGAATGAAGTGCTTACACATGCTACAACATGAACAAACCCTGAAACATTATGCTAAGTGAAAAAACAAAAAACAATCACAAGACTATACATGAGCCGTCCAGAATAAGCGATCACAGAGACAGAATGCCAGTTAGTGGTTTCCAGAGTCTGGGGCAGGGGAAGGCAGAGGAGCTGCCCAAAGGGACAGGTGTTCTTTTAGGATGATGAAAGGAAGCTTAAATTGGTAATGATGGCCGCACAACTCTGTAAATGTAGAAGCCTCTCTATGTGCTTCAAGAGGGGCCATCTTAAGATACGTGAATTATATCTTGGTAAACTGTTAATTTTTAAAAATGTCCAGTGTGGAGACATGGAAGAGCACTTGCCTAGCATGTGCAAGGTCCTGGGTTCCATCTCCAGCATCCTCACCTCACACCAGAGCTCAAAGGGTTAATTATAGCATAGCCTCTTGCGCTCATCAAGAAACCTGATTAGTGATTGGTGTTGACTCACAGAGCACACACATACTCTCCTTTCCTTAGTCCAAGACCTCAAGACCACCCCTCAAGATCATGTTCAAGTACTGCTACTTGATGCCTTGATGCCTCCTTCCATATGGACATCTCCCTCCAATTTATTCAGTGTCCACTGTTGTCTTCAGCACTGAGGTTAACAAAGAGCCATGCATTCTAGCACTGAAATACACTCCTGCCCCTTATGTTAACTTTTGTTTTTGAGAGAGACTGACAGACTGACTAACTTGCCGTGTCACCCATGCTGGCCTCCAATGTGCAATTCTGCGTTAACCTCTACAGCAGCTGGGACTGTAGGTGTGCAGCATACCCTGCCAGTGGCTGCATCCTTCCACGAGCACTGCTGTGTGGCTGTTTGGGGAGTTTATTTCTATTCACATCAGAAAGGATGAAGCCAAAGCAAAGAAACGATCCTGTCCAAGCCTAGTTTTGCGAGACGTGGATGTTTGGGGGCTGCTTGGAGCTTGGAGAACTTGTGGGCAACTATACCACCAGTCTCCTGCCAACAGTTATTAACCATTTAGATGGAGGGGAGGGGCCTCCTGAGCCTTTTTAGTGTTTTACCCCCTCCCGTGAGGAAGTGCTAATAGGAACAACTGTGTAAACATCCGATGGGGCTGACCACAGCCTCTGTGATTCTTGACAGCAATGACCACATCCAGCCTAACAGTGGGCACCAAAACCAAGAAGACAGACGCAGGTCCTGCATCTGTTTTACAGTACCGCTCAGAGCCATCATGTTGAGTGCCAAAGTAATATTGTCAAAAGTATGCATGGACAGCCCTCCCCTGCACAGCAGTGAGCTACAAGAGAAGACCGGTGTCTTTACCATGAACATCGGGGCGGAGAAGAGGCTGGTTGTCCAGGGCCCTGGGTTGAATGTTGGTTTCTGTAGTAGGTGGTAGGGAGGAGGGTGGCTGCTGTCAGCTAGAGGGGCAGTTCTGAACATGGTCTGTGGTGCATGACTGCCCGACAGGAACGAGCCAGCAGCAGCTCGTGGCAGCCCACCCTCTGCACAACTGCGGTCT